CCGTACTACGCTAAGAAAAACAAAAGACGAATATTTAGTGTATACATGTACACGTAGAACTATCTATATTTTCAATATCTTGCTGTCATTTCCCGTGTCGTTTAATGTAGAAATATCCATTTCACTTTAGGGATTTCACTGCATTTCACGTAGAAACGCTGACTTTTGCTTGTAGAAGTTTAGTAAGTATCTTCCATTGTGTCGAGACTTAACAACAATACATCTTAAAGTAGTCATCTGTGAAAGAATTGTCTCGCCACTTCCTTAAGAATTCTTTATTTTTTATAAAATGTCCTTTTTAGAACTTTATGACACATTGTTGCCCCTTAGTTGTAAGAATATACTTATTTTAATGATTTTGTTGTCCGATTAAACTGAGAACTGGGCAATAAATAGTTACATTTAAGTAATTAATCTTAAAATATATGTCAAGAATGATCAAATAGTTCATGTTGGTTTAGAGAATACATGAGGAATCGAATACTCTGAAACGCATTTCAAACGATTTGCCTATTCAAAATCAAAGCAAAAGTATCCTATTATGTCTTTAAAAATGACAGAGGATTTTGCATGCCTAGCTTTACGACTTTGTTCCATTGCCTAATTTTGGAATGTAGAAAGTAAAGTCCATAGTTTGTCGGGGTTACGGACGTGTGGGGGTGTAGGAAATCTCGTATTTCATCCAGCATTGGAGAATACGTTCGAGAAACGTTGAACATTATCATCCAGTAGGTCCTATAAGACCAGGGATGGGGGCGTTGGAACTGTGGGGGTGTAGGAAATCTTGTATTTCACCCGGCGTCGGAGAATACGTTCGAGAAACGTTGGTAGGATGTTGATGTGACATACAGATTTCTCGCTGTGATGGTATTCCCATGCTAGGCAAACAAAGAACAAATATGTAGTAACAACGTTTCTATCTATTTCCATATTCATTGTAATGAGTGCCAAACCTCTATCCTACTTCACACTGACCTCACTCCGGAAGTCAAGCGACCAATCAGTCATCCACGGAAGTCAACTCTTGCGTCACTAAAACGTTCGGAAATCGTCTGAACGTTCGGGAAACGTTCGGGAATCCCGTATTACGTTGGGGTACGATCGAGAAACGTTGGGGAATCCCATATTTCATCAGATTTCATCATCGGGTCCTATAGGACGGAACCATGAAATACGCACACTATACTACTTATATGATCCCAAACTACTACTAGTGATAAAGACAAAGGTGTACCTCGTTGTACTATACCTAATGTACTTTCGTATACCAAACCTAGTACCAATATCCAATACTCAACAAAGCATGGTCCAAAATCCAAACATCAAACAAGAAGCCACAATCACAGAGTCTTCATCGTGTCCTGCCCTCTGATCAACTGACGAACTCAACCTTGTACAACTCACATATAAAATTCAGCTCTACCAAAACCGGTTTAACCGATCAGAACTCTTTATTTCAAAGATCGGCATACGACAGACTACAATGTACTAGTTTTCAGCGACAGATATCAATCTAAATTCTATACCTTGTTCCAATAACAGGTTTCTATAATGCTGTTCTATTTTCACGACGTTAGCATTATTTGGAAGTTAAAAACATGAAAAGCCTTATCATGCAACCGTTACACTACGATACCACCGGGAGTTGTAAGATAATCGTGCGATGACCGCACGGGACACGGCCGGGTAGGTACCAATGAGTTTGGTTGAGAAAAAATCGCCAACACAACTGCAACTTTTATCTCCGCGATAAAACTCTGCCGGCGCCCGGGCGACGTCTAAAATCGGCCGATGGTGCGCCCGGCGCCTGTACGATGCCCGGGCTCGCCAGCCGATTGTGAAAAAGTTCTCATCGGCTGGGCGCCGTAGTGAAAATTGGAGCCTATGTGACCAAGGCATTAGTTGTGGATTTCAAATCGGATTATCCTCATCTCAATTGAATCATTTTTCCTGTTCAGATTTACATCATGTTTAAGTATGAATCAGTGTAATCTCCGTGATAAAACTCTGCCGGCGCCCGGGCAACATCTAAAAATCGGCCGATTGTGCGCCCAGCGCCTGTACGATGCCTGGGCTCGCCGGCCGATTTTGAAAAAGTTCTCATCGGCTGGGAGCCGTAGTGAAAATCGGAGCCTATGTGACCAAGGCATTAGTTGTGGATTTCAAATCGGATTATCCTCATCTCAATTGAATCATTTTTCCTGTTCAGATTTACGTCATCATGTTCAAGTATAAATCAGTGTAATTAGAGGTTGTCTCGTGATTGTAAAAAGCCTGCATTTTAAGTGAAATTCAACAAATAAAAAAGTGATGAGTGGAATATCAGTGTCTAATGATCTAGTCTAGTGATCAAAAAGTAATGGACGCTTTTTACACGGATGCTTTTTATAGACCAATACCTTCGATTTTCTTACCAGTGATACATCATTCAATTATCTATCAATTCTGAAGATTTGAAAACAAAACATGTAATATATTTTGATATATCTTTATTTCTGTGAAGGAGGTATAGGTACCCTTGGACTGACATGACATCAAACATTCTGAAGCTATTTTAGCTTGTTTAACGTGCAACACAGTTGAATACAGGCTAAACAAAACAAACCATTGTGGTCATGAATTACCCATTCTGTTATACCATTGTTGATCTTGAATATTTTATCATCACTATGTGTTATTCAAGCCACATTCATTCTACAGGGCCCTCTACATAGGTTCCATCAAGTGCTACATGTACACAATTCCTCATCCTCTTAAGGTGCTATGGAAGTTAACAGGAAATGACAAAACAGGAAGTGACAATTTTTTTTTCATTTTTAGACATTTTTTGAACAAAGATAAGAGTCTTCTGGTTTGACCTCCAGTCAATCTAACTATTTCCACATATCATTTACATGGCCAGGATCACAATGTGCATGGTCAGAATGACCCTAATCATGATGAAATAACCCTTTTAGCCCTTTGAAAGTGTGACTGAAAAAAGCTAAAAGTAGGAGGTAGGAAAGGTCACTGAACAGAATCTTTTGAATTTTTCAGAAAATGTGCCCAATATAATGCTCTAACTGACACAATCTTTGAAATTTTAGAAAATTGTCTTAAACAAAAATGGCGGTCATAACAAGGAAAATAGATCGCTTTTCAAATCAGTTTTTTCATTCTTTTTCTTTTTCTATGAATGGTATCAAATTTTCAAAGATTGTATCATTTAAAGCAATATATTGGGCACATTTTCTGAAAAATTCGAAAGATTCTGTTCAGTGACCTTTCTTACCTCCTTCTTTTAGCTATTTTTCAGTCACATTTTCAGAGGGCTGAAAGGTTATTTCATCATGTTTAAGGTCATTCTGACCATGAACATTGTGATCCTGGACCTGTAAATGGTATTTGGAACTAGTTTAATTGACTGGAGGTCAAAACAGAACTCTTTATTTTTTTCTTTGTTCAAAAAATGTCTTAAAATGCAAAACAATGTCACTTCCTGTTTTGTCATTTCCTGTTAACTTCCATAGCACCTTAACCTAAGATTGTGAGACAAGGCTGAATCCATTCTCTGACATGGTAGCAAGATGCAGTTGCACGGGTTGTTTTATTTCATCAATGTCAATAAACCTGCGTCCTTTCTCTATAGAAATATAGTATAGGAATAAATAAGTCACATGTGGGCAGATCTGGACAATATGGTGCATTGGCCAAGGGCTCAATTTTGAGGTCCAGGGATATTGTTTTCTGAGTATTTTGAGATCTGTGGTTAGGTGCATTGTCCATATGGAGTAGGATGTTTCCTTCTCTCACCACCCCTTCTTTAACAATGCTTCCTCAAATTGACCTGCAAACCTCGATCATACAACATTCTGACATCACAATACTTACTGTTTTTTTTTGTTACCAGTCAGCAAAATATTTCAAACAACACAACACTTGTTGCATATAAAAAAAGTTTAGATCTAACTAAAATTTGTCAAACTGGCTAAAAATTGAATATGTGATGTAAATATGGGTCCCGGGGTACCTGTACCCCCTTCACGGAAATAAGGATATATCAAAATATATCACATGTTTTGTTTTCAAATCTTTAGAGTTGATAGATAATTGAATGATGTATCACTGGTAAGAAAATCGAAGGTATTGGTCTATAAAAAGCATCCGTGTAAAAAAGCGTCCATTACTTTTTGATCACTAGACTAGATCATTAGACACTGATATTCCACTCATCACTTTTTTATTTGTTGAATTTCACTTGCAGGCTTTTTACAATCACGAGACAATCTCTAATTACACTGATTTACACTTCAGAATTGATATATAACCGAATGATGTATCACTGTTAGGAAAGGGATTGCTTGATCCATAAAAAGTATCTGTGTAAAAAAGCGTCCATTACTTATTGATCACCCCTCGTATAATTGCCCAGAACTTTTTTCTAAAATATAATTATGAAAGAACGAATTGTATAACGAAATATAATTCTAAAACAATAACAAATTTGGGTGGTTGTGTGGGTGAGTGGATCTTTTCGTCTTTATTAGCTGCTTGTTAGTCTTGGCATTTAATCCTGTTGAACAGGATGATACCTTTTTATCCGTATATTCGATTCAATCCTGCATATGTCATTATATGGCTTTAATAGCTTTTTACGTTAAAATCATATTTAATTAGACAACTCGGTTGTTTTATAAATCAAAAGTTGTTTTCTTGTCAGCTAATCGGGGTACCATATGCTAATCTTTCAGAAATCTAAATGAACATGGATGAATATGAAATCGATGTCCCCGATGTCTTGATTTCACCGTGAGTATGGTCACATTAATACAGGGACCGTACGGCGCCCGCAACTAAGTCTGAAGGATATCGCACGGGTATCGCAAGACCATCAGCCGATGGCCGTACGGCATCACAGCCAGGACATCGGTCGATCTACAGGACCCAAGAGAGCCTCTACAGCTATACTATATTCATAAAAAAGTGACAACGTATTTTAAATCACGTTTCTCATTCAGGTTCTCCTTTGGACATTTGGTATATTATTGATCGATCTGCGTCCATGGATGGACCAACCATTGAGGCGGTCAAAGATTTTTTGCTTAAACTGAGTTCTTGGATCTACAAACATCTATCCCGAAACACCTGGATTGGCGCCGTGTCATACAATGATAAGATACATCCTGAATTCGACATTGGACCGAGAAGTTTGTCCTCATTAAAGTTAGGTAAATAAATGTAAACAAGAAAAATAATATAAACAAGGCTAATAAATAGTAAATCAAGAACCCTACTCTCATGAATATTGTAGTGATACTTAAATAGTAGTATTTTCTTTCGTAGAACTGAATGACATCCCTAATACAACGGAGATGGGAGACTACACTCAATCGGCATTAGAGTATGCTAGAACTAAAATCGAGTACCTTGACCGCGAAAAAAGAAGGCAGATAAATACAAACTTGATTATCCTGTTAACCAATGGAGCAACAAATGTAAAACCATATGTGGCTAATGATTCCACAATCCAAGACAAATATTCCCACCTAGCTATTACGGAAGGTATTGTAATTAAAACATATGTTCTGCTATTTAGATTGGTAGCAAAATATATATGTGTTACAATTTAGAAAGAAACTTTTTCACTACAAATACCAAAAACGTCCTAAATGTACTAGATAAACGCATTTAGCCATTGACCTAACAGGGGATCACATACCGAGTGGGAATAAAAAATGGGCTGTACTTCGGCACCTGAAATTTCCATATAACCCTCTTATCTCTAATTCTAAAAAATTGCACATGTGAAACTAGTTATCTCCCTGATATAAAAATGAAATGTCTAAGATAATCATAATATGACGTCAATCCTTGTTGCACTTGAAACATTGATCAATTGGCTCTCTATCGTCTCTGAAGATGGTGCACAAATGTTTTTTCATGAAATGATTGAGTTACAAATGTACTTTAGTATATTGTTCAATTTTCAAGGTAACAGCTTGATACGGAGCTTTGATAGCAAATAACCTTTCGCCACCAGAAGTTGAATAACTGAGGTCTTTGCTGAAGGCATTGGCTGATTGGTCATCAAACGGTTTAACGGTACATTATAAGAGTTATCATAATATGTCAGGTCCAACCTGCTAAAAGATATGTTCACTTCGCAGTTTTTGTTTCACGATGTGCAACCCAAACGCTTTTAAGCCCACTTTGGAGCTATTTATTCACCTTGAAACGCTCCTGATCTGGCGGGGAAAGAAGATTGCACGATGGGCATACGTATTATTTCACTTGCTTCTCTTACATGTCATACGTTACGGTAGCTCGTATAATGTACCATTCGATGACCAACGCCAACAGAAAAGACCTAGTAAGTTATTCAGCCTCTGGTGGTGAAGGGTTATTTGCTTTAATCAAAGCTAGGTATCAAGCGATTACTTTGAAAATTTGAAAATTGAACAATATACTTAAGTACATTTGAAACTCAATCAATTCCTGGAAACAAAATTGTGCACCATATTCGAATTCAGCGAAGATGGAGGACCATTTGATTAAATTTTCAAGGGTAACAAGGATTGATGTCATGCTGAAATTATCCGGGACTAGCGTTTTTGACTCATGTTTTCAACTTTGATCCCATAACCAGAAAGTTTCAAGGATAAAGATGAAATTTCAGATTTACATTAGAAAGATAAGTGGTTTCGCATGTGCAAATTTTTAAAAATGGAGGGTTATGAAGATATCAGAGGACAAAGTAAGGCCCATATTTTATTGCCACTCGTCTCCAACGTACACAACGTATCCAAGCAGATCAATTACGTCCTTAATCAGTTTAAACCAGTTGACAATTAGTTGTACCTCGTTCTCAATACGTCCTAATATGTTACTGAAGTATCCATCAAATTTCCATACGGTTGAACTCGTTCTAAAATAGTAAACATCGTGCCCCTAATCCGTGCAGAACGCGTTTATAATCCCCTAGTAGGATTGAAGTACGACACTTCCGTTCGTAGTGTGTTCCCAGTGCGTCCAGGTCGTCTTAAGTGCGTTGTCACTCGTTCTGATTGCAGTTCTGATTGAGCATGCTCTAAGTTCTGGAGGACCTACTAGTTCGAGTAGTTTCATGAAGTTTGTAAACATATCCTAAACGGTTCTTAGTGGGTTCTTAGTACGTCAAATCCGTTCGAATTCGTGCACAGTTTAAGCCCATTTTTGAGAACGTAGTGAGAACTAGTTTGGTGTGATAGTAGGGTTACCCTAGTGCGTCCAGGTCGGAAGGGTTACCCTACTATCACACCAAACTAGTTCTCACTACTTTCTCGAAAACGGGCTTCATCTGTGTACGAACGGACTGGACGTACTTAGAACCGTTTGGGGTCTATTTACAAACTTCATCGAACATATTCGAACGGGTAGGTCCTCTAGAACTTAGAACATGCTCAAAATGTTCTATTGGTCGTCACGTTTTACAATTAGAACGAGTGACAACCTACTTACGACGAGCTGGGCGTACTACAAACGGAACCGTCGTACTTCAATCCTACTAGGCACGTTTTAACAACGAGTTGAACTGTCTGAGGACGTATTGAGAACGAGGTAGAACTAATTGCAAACGGGTTAAAACTGATAAGAACGTATTAAAGACTGCTTATGAACGAGTCAGCAAAAATATTACTATCACACCAAGCAAGTTGCCACTGCGTTCTTCAAAACTGGCTTTAAACTGTGTGCGAACGAAATGAACGTAGCTACAACGTTCTACGGTCTGTTTACGAACTTCATGGACTTTCCTGGACGGGGAATGTGATTTAGAATTTTGAATCGATTCAAAATTCTATGGCGCCCATACCGTTCTGTAATCAGGTCATCATGACCTTCTAGACTAAGGGACGCGTTATACGACGTTGCACACCGATGTGGTGCGACCTGAATGAACTGCGAACGAGATGGACGTATTGAAGACTGTTTATGAACGAAGTAGCTTATTATTTTAGACATATTTCCCGACCACAGCCAGATTGAGTCCGTTTTACGACGTTTTCGTAGGACTGGCAAGAACGGGTAAGAACTAGTTTGGTGTGATAGGGGGGTTAACAATAGACTTTTAGTTTTTCCTCCAGTGTTGAAGAGCTCAAATTCTGGAATTCAATTTCTTACACCCGGTTTTCCGCATCGGAATATACAGGGTTCGATTTTAAATACATCATTTCGGGTTTATTTGACATTCGTCTTCACGATAAAAATATATGTCCTTATGACACACTGCAAAAGCGTTTCCACGAATACTTTTCAAAACGATAATCAAGGTTGGGAGAATTTGGTTTAATCACGGGATCTCAATTAGAACGGACCAATGAAAATTTGAAGCGATGCATTGAGGGAGATATATATGTTAATGACAATGTTTTCGTCTATCGAGTAGCTTGGGCAACATTCATGAGACACCTGATATTTGATTCATAGTCAGGTGGCAGATTTATCCCAATTTTGCGATAAAAAGGTGAAAAGCTACTCAGATATATTGCACTAGCATTTCCTCAGAAAAATCCTAATTCAGGCCTTCCAGACTCCCATCAACGTAAACATCAGTTCTGACGTCGCGAACTACATTCCTTGCACTTGAACAACGATTCTCACATCGCGAACTTTAAATCCTTATTCGCGCACTACTATTTCATCCCCCGAACATATTTCTCCACTCGCGCACAGAGATGTGTGTTCGCTAACCACGTGTACATAGTGCAACGAACGTAGTCCGCGACGTCAGAACTGATGTTCGCGTTGAGGGAAGTCTAAGAGGTCTGCAATTGGCTTCCTGGTCATTTCGACCCCAAGTCAACTCAACCCAGTCCAACTCAACCCCAAGTCAACCCAACCCCAAGTGAAGTCAACCCCAGTTAATCTCAACCCCAAGTCAATTCAACCCTGTAAAACTCAACCCCAGTAAAACTCAACCCTTATATTTCTATATATTGATAAACTTATAAGAAAGTTTGTTTCATAAAAATAATTTTGATTATTCTTTTTGTGATTTTCATTCTTAGACCACTGTCTTTTTAGATTATAGTTAATACTGAGTTAATCTCCTTAAGCTTAACCGTTTTTTTTAATACTTTTACAACTTTCTATTCAAAATATCATGCAAAATGCTAGATTTTCAGAAATGAATGACTTAAATTCAATTAGACATTGCACAAATGAATAGGGTTGAGTTTTACTGGGGTTGAGTTTTACAGGGTTGAGTTGACTTGGGGTTGAGTTTTACTGGGGTTGAGTTGACTTGGGGTTGAGTTGGACTGGGTTGAGATCACTTTGGGTTGAGATGACCTGTCACCGTTCTCAATACGTCCTCAGACAGTTCAACTCGTCCCTAGTAGGATTGAAGTACGACGGTTCCGTTCGTAGTGTGTCCAGCTCGTCGTTAGTACGTTGTCACTCGTTCTAATTGTAGAATGTATCGACCACGAGAACATTTTGAGCATGTTCTAAGTTCTAGAGGACCTACTCGTTCGAGTACGTTCGATGAAGTTTGTAAATAGACCCCAAATTGTTCTAATTACGTCCAGTCCGTTCGTACACAGCTGAAGCCCGTTTTCGAGAACGTAGTGAAAACTAGTTTGGTGTGATAGTAGGTTTACTATAGTTTGTTGATATAATTCATATTTTCAAGCTGCAAAACTGAAACCAGATCTAGATTTGATGATAATAGGATTGCCTCACAAGGTGGCCCTCAGACTGGTGCAAAGTGAAGATGTAAACCAAGCGCAACTAGGTCGTGCAATATTAGATGCTGCAAAAAATGAATGGAATGCCATGGTAAGTTTCCATCGTTCAAATCAACCTGATAAAGGTACATCAACAGATCAAGTCGCATTTGCAAGTACATGTACAGGATCGACGATAGCATATTGGCACATCCAATATTTCATCATTTTGCTGTTAAAATCAAGATTGTCCATTTATGATTTTTGCTGTTAAAAATCAAAGGTCAACGATAGATATGTAACATGTACGATTTATGATGTATTTCTATCATTCTGCCAGGAACGAATTCACAAATCATCTAAAATATATTTTTGCTTTGTGTTTTTTGCTCTAAGTTTAAATTGATTTTTTCACACGGTCTATCATTCTCATACGTGGACTGCAAGTACCGTAAAGTCTCAGTCACATTTGCTTTAACTGCAGGTGTATGGCGACCGTATCGTCTCAGAATCGGCACAGAAAATCTATAACGTACTGTTAATAATCCCTACATTTTATGCTACATATTTCTCTCGATTTCAAAAAAACTAACACATGTATACATGTACTTCATATAGACTAGAATCAGAGGGTTGAAAGAATCATGACATCTTATATTTTGACGAGCCGGCAATTCATGTTTACCAATTGAAAGGTAAAGGTTTCCTAAATTGGTACTGAGATTTAACAAGAATAAATAGGTGTCAAAATGTGGTTCTGGGTGAAAAAATGTGTTTTTTGCAGAAAAAAGATTTTAAAATTAAAAAGATTTTTTTTAAATTTGTTTTAGTACAAACAGTCTGATTAACTATAAAAAGTAAAAATAAACCATATTTGATTGATTTTGCAGATTTTTGGGGACATTTTAGAGAATTTGCTTGTGGTTGGCTCATAAGTGAATTATATTGTCAATGTGCTATTTATATGCATTAATAATAGAGATATAATTAAGGTTTACTACCCGAATAAGCACTTCAAAAGAAATATATAATATATTTCAACTAAATTTTATTTCGTACTCCATTGTGTCATATTTCAGTTCATATGTCATATTACTCAAATGATCATAGAAGTAAAATATTTTAATGTGGTGTAATATCACCAATGTATACTTTAATATATCCTCAAAACATTTGCAAATACGATGGTTGGTTTACTATTAATATAAAATGAACATTCAAACATATAATGTTTTGTGGAAACATAATTGTCACTATCATTATCACAGCCTGTCATCGACTATATTGTACAATGAGGTGGAACAGGTCATTTTTACAAGTTTCAATGTTTCCGCACAATTTGTTATTTAACCGAAAACTACTTCTTATTCTCAGATAAAAAGAACCAGCGCAAGCAGTGACAATTGCCAATCATACTTCTGAATACGAAGTTAATGAAAAGGCGTGAACATCCTCCACTCAAAACAATCATTTTCCATTATCAATTTTTAACGTTTTTAGCGGAGGCAGCATTTGTTTATTATTTTGAGTAGTAGTCTAATAGCGATTTAAAAAACTATGATCACTGGGGGAGGGCAAACAATTGGGATGGAGCAATAAAATCATTTTTGACAGCCTTAGCACATCACTCATGTAGAAAATACCAAGTGGCTTGGTAGCTTGGTGCATCAAAAGATCTCTTCTAAGTTGCAGTGCTGTGTGCACCATCTCCCAAAAATGATATTTTGCTGCACCAATGATATAGCATGATAATCCATAGTCTTGATCAGCATAGTTTACGGATAAAATAACAGTTTATGCCATACCACCTAGTCATGGGATAATTATCTTGTATAACTCTTTTATGTGCAGCTCTAATGCTTTTCGCGATTGCAAATGGTCCTAGATTTTTGTCAACTTATTGTTTAAAATCACCAGTTAATACATATAGTATATTTCTGTCACAGCTGACAACTGTTTTATACGATAGGTTGAGATGAGATTAATGATAGATACCATTAACTGAACCAATGGCTAATAAATCTGTTTTGATAGGGAGATGATTGTGTTTGGTGATTATTGGTACTAGTTCAATAAAGTTAATCAAACAAAAAAAAGTACAATCTGTATGAAACCAGTGTGCAAAATCCAAAACACTGATTGGTTGGCAGGGCTCCAGCCTGGCACATTGACAAGTTGACCACACTTATTTATGTGGTGATCAACACTGACTGTATATTCTGAACTAGTTAAGAAATGAGGAATATTCTTTGAATTAATTGTCAAATTAGTCGCGATATACGGGGCCTGGATAGTCACCGTGAAAAACGTCGTCAATTTGCATATTTCCGGACACCCGATTCATATACGAGGGGCATTTGAAAAGTTCGTTTCTTTTTGCTCTAATTTTAGCTCACATGGTGAGCTATTGCAATCGCTCACTTGTCCGTCTGTCTGTCCGTCCGTCTGTCAATAATTAGCCCGTTTCAAATTCTCTGTCAATAGGATTCCCGTTTTAAGTTATTTTTGTTCAACATCAAAATAGAAAACTCCCCTATGACTCCTGGTTCAAAAGCCCGCCATTTTTGTCTCAAGAAAATCACTTTTGGACCATGTGCTTTAAAACCTGTGTCGATAGGATTCACGTTTTAAGTTATTTTTGTTCAGCAACAATACAGAAAACTCCTATATGACTCCTGATTCAAAAGCTCGTCTATTTTTAAAATGGTCGCCATATTTGTATCGCGAAATTCTTTTTTGGCCCTTTTCCTAGCTTTACAAATAATTTCAGGATCCTGCATTGTAAAAACCCATGTCACTGTAAAGAGTAGTTGTATGAAATAATTTTGTTACAAAAATCGGCAAAAAAATTATATCCATTTTTTTTATTTTCATTTTTCAGCCATTTTAGTTAACATTGATTTGTCCATCTTTCTCGCGAAATCCACTTTTGGACAATTTGCCTTAAAACCCTTAGAGCGCTCATTTCTTTTGGACGTGCATTCCGTGGAGACTGACTTGTTTGGGGATTGATTCCTTTTTCAGACATGCATATAGAACCTGATCATACCAGAAGTATGATGCATATGCATGTATCATATGGATGCAATATGGTAGCTAAGTTAGTAAAAATGCCATGAAAAGCATTGAAAGTTATGAAGGGGTAATCTAACCCTTTACATTGACTTGAAGTCAAAGTTTATGACAGAGATTTGTCTGAAAATTTTCAAAAAATTCTAATCACAATTTACCCACATATCAATGATATTTCCTTCATTTTTAACAAATTAAAATGATAGATTTACCTCTAATATCATCACCTGATCATACATTGTGATCGATTTCCTCATATTTGATGAGTATTCTTCAATTAAATCCAAAAAATAAAAAAATGTTCACTTCCGATCACTTCTGGTTTCGAACTTCCGGTCAATATTTTCGAAATAAAAAGTTTAAAAAATTGTTTTTGTTTCATTAAAGGGTGACGCATATCGTTTAGCAAATCGAACGCTCGTGTCTGGTGTTGCTCACCGTTTAGTATAAAAGGCCCGATCGCGGAATAATACTCAAGGGTTCACAGGTTCGAGGTCGTTGTGTCAACACCTCTAACTGTTATATTGCATAAGTATATTATAGATCGTCACACATTTATAAAAAGGTGATTTTTATTTTGACAAATCAATTCCACATTTATGGGTGAAGTTTCAGGATCTTCTATTTGTGTATAACAAGGAAAAATTGGCATCTAAATTTCCCCATAACGTAATAGCACACAGCTTGGCATATGAAATATCCTACAAATGAAACAAAGCAAGACCGAACCCGGTTTCTAATACAAGGATTTATATTGGCTGTTGTACATGTATTCTTTGAACGCAATCACTCTTTGGATAACGTTTTCAAAATCATTATAAACGGATAACTTTATCTCAAAGACAATTTCAATAAACTGGATTTTACAGAACTCCCCTTATTTCTTAAAAATGGACCTGATCCAGTTGATTCGCCTGGAGCCGCCATATTGTTTTTATACGGGATGCTAATCGGAACCCTTTAATAAGTGTGTCTATTTAACTTATCTTGTAAAAATGTGATGTATGAATGTTAACAACACCATCAGCAATCACATTTTGAGAAGAATAGCGGCAAATTATTTGAGCTAAAGACTTATGACTTTTTGCAAACACTTTCAACATTATCAAGCGAGTAAACTCGCCCATCGTCTATCTGGAATGTGACGTCAAAGCGAGTAAACTCGCTCAGCGCATGTCTATCCATCGATAGGATTCCCGTTTTAAGTTATTTTTGTTCAACATCAATACAGTAAACTCCCCTATGACTCCTGGTTGAAAAGCTCGCCTATTTTCAAAATGGTCGCCATTTATGTCTCGCGAAGTTCAGGTTTGGCCTTTTTCCTAGCATACAAATACAAAGGACAGGTGGCGGTAAACCCCTCTTTTAGCCCCCTACAAAACAAGTATATATTGACATGGAGTTGAAGAGGAAGTATGACTCATTACTTAAAATGTGATTTCTGAGAGTTTTGACATTTGACCTTGACACTAGGGTGGTTTAAAGGTCAACTTTGAGAGTTGCTATTTTTGTCAAAATTTGACTGTTTCTAATCCAAGAAATGAGAGCAATTGGCTTTATTTTGATTGTGACTGATAAAAAGTCATGTGAATAGAAATAAAATTTTTTTTTATAAATTATCACGGGCAATTACCTGAAAATCTTGCGAATAAATACCGATATGGGCATTTTTAGGGGGACTAAATTTTCTTGTTTCAAAAATGAATCTTCTTGTTGCCTTTTGAGACTCTAACAGTATCCTAAGCATGTTTTAAGAGTTGGGATGTGATTATTATTTTAAATGCCCATGGGCAATTAGGATAAAATGACTGAAATTAAATGCACACAAGGGCACTTCAAAAAGAATGGATTTTTCTTTTTTCAATTGCTTCTCGCCAGTTTTCTAAACATGTTTGCCATATTCTAAATAGTTATAGGGTCACTTTTACTAAATGCCCATTGGCATTTGGCATTTTATTTGGCATTTGAAATTAAAATGTTTGAATGTACACATACTTTTAAAGTTATTTGCTAATTTGCAGTTCCCGTATTTGAAGCACAAATAATTCAGAGAAATCCTCTCTCAATATATATCATAAAATATAAGGCAGCATAATGTATGAATTGCATGACACTCAAATGATTGCCTAAAATAATTTCTACTTATTCCCTATTTAGAAAAACATTTAGGCCATTCAAAGATTTTCTTATAATAATGTCACTAAATTCTATGTTTTCAGAAAAAACAAAATGTCCCCATGTACTCTCTACTTGTAATGTATATAAATGACAAAGGGAATTGTGATCTTGGATTATATTGTAGCGAAATGAGTTCCAAGATTTTGATTAAATACTACATGTATGTAAACTTCATTAACAAGGTCATCTGAACTCAAGAGGTGTGTTACTTGCTTTGGCACAATGTGTTATTGCATTTTCACTCTTTAATAATATATAAAACCCTTTAAATAAATGAAGGTTTTGTAGTTTTTAATATAAGGCTCTTCATCAGAATGCCAACATATAATTAATTTTGGATGGCCTAATCTGTACACGCAGTTATGTAATGTACATGTATGCCCAGGTTAGCAGCCATATTGAAAACATAAACCAGTCAGGCTTATTTTCATCACAAAAGTTAAGTTTTAGTGGTGAGCCCAAACTCCCACAAAAATGATATTTGCAGAGAAGCTACTTTACAGTCTCTGCATTATACAGTTTCAATATATTTTTTGTGGGAGTTTGGGCTGACAGTTAACTTTTCAATGAAAGGGAATGAGCACCATGCTAAAACTTGATAACAAAGTGAACGAAAAATGACAATGTTTTCTAGATTTGCATAGGTAAACTACATCGCTAGATTTTGTCAATTTCTCCGAATACTTGTATGCCATATGTTCCATATATTAAATTCTATATAATGATAAGGATTGATATTATTTTGATGGTAAACATAATGTGTACCCATATTCAGACAGCCTTGTAATAGGGGTTCTTACTGCCAATTTTTCAAAGAAACTGAGAACTTATGCCACTTTTTGAAATCGCACATCTCAAGAAGAAAGGTTTATCTACAACTTGCAATTGGTTTTAAAAGTAAATGGAAGAATGAGTTTTTCAGAAAAAGTCTAAGTGGACCAATAGTCTGTTAAATGAACCTGTTGTTCTTTCCTAGCTTTTCAAATGCCCCTCGTATAACTAACTACTACTAGCTACATTCAGCTACACTGATGACATATTTTGAAATGTTATTTTAGATAAAGGCGGTGTATCAATCTGATCGAGCAAAGTTACACAGCAATATTTTCACTTTGAATTACGTTAATGAATTGCTGCAGCTGGATGTATTTGGGTACATCTCGCAGGAAGTATGCAGACTGGCGTCAAAGCGAAAAAAGCTGGGGTCAAGAGCAGAGTCAGTGTTCGCGTTAGTAAGGTAGAATGTTTGTAAAGTAGTACTGAAAAACTGAAACCTTTCGAATGAAATATATGTCGTGGAAATACCAAATGTGGACATAATTAACCCTAATATTTGTAGCGGGATGTAAATATGTATGTCCCGCTACCCCAAGATATGATATATCCCGATGTTATATACCTGAAATCTCACTTGTATCTCACATCATATGCATTTTATCATAATAAGTACAACAATATTAAAGCTGTTTGTTTTAAGTCATAAGATGATTTAATGGATTGAATTGAAAGACAAAAACAGATTTAGACCCTATAAACATTATTTTTTTAAATGTCAGTACTCATTTGAAATCGAAGTGATTATATTGTTACTTACCTATTTTTAAAAATATGTATTTCACACTACCGCCATTTGTTCCCTCATTCATATCATTTTGAGCATTAACTACTAGCTTTGCTCAAGTCGGTATTTTTTATTTATCTGATCTTGAATTATTTCAGGTGAAAAAAAATTCCCAAAAATAAATAAAAAAGACACCGACTTAGGCAAGGCTAATTTAATACTTGCTCATTCAGAACATACATACAAAAATACAATTACTAGTACGAGTATTCCATAAAGCGTTTGTTTATATATTTCTTAACTTGGCATGACTTACAAAACAATTAGTTGCTACTTCTACTTGGTGAAAAAGTAATTTGAAAGTTATTCGAAATCAAAATACTATAGGTTTTATTTGTATGCTAAATTCCATCATCAATTCTCCTTAATTATATTTCTTATAGTCATCTTCTTTGAGTGTGTGACCATAAAAAATGTCTGAAAGGTGAACTGCATTGAAAGAAATTTCCATATCCTCTTAAAGGCAGAATCAGATCTATGGGGGTGACAAAATTACAAGCAACATGTACAATTGACCTACCAATCTATTCCTTACAATATCAAATACAATATCTCCCAAAAGATTCATGATATGTTATAAATTGGTGAAGTTTTTATGGATTCAAAGTGCAAAAATGGGTGAAAAATGTTCAAATTCTCCCAAATAATAAGAATGGTAACCATTCTTGTAGAAAAATAAAACATTATTGTAACAATCTTTAGTTTTCCTGAAATAATATGTGCACTTATGGGATTTTTAGAAAATAGACATGAAAAAAGAATGACACAAACCAGAAATATTCTAAAATTGAAACAATTTTTTGTGAGGCTGCTTGCTAGATCTGATTCTCTCTTTAAACTGTTTCCGTAGTATTTCTGATGTTTCACATGGTATAAACGTACGTTTTACAATTTTGAAAATTTGTTGTTTTTTCTGCACCCATAGCTTGTAGCTTTTCCTGACAAATTAAAATGTTATAAAAATTCTTAAATTGAAATTAATTTTGTAAGTTTTGTTTCCTTTTTCTCTCAGGCATCATAAAGTATTAGGTCCTTTTTCTATCATCATCACGTATGCATAATTTTTTCTTCAAAGCGCAGTTAAGCTGTTGGCGGTAATTATCCTTTGCATTCGTTCGACTTCACTTCTTAAAAGAGAGCTTCCTCTTTAGTTTATAACAAGACTCTGCGTGCCATTCTGATACTCATAGCATCTTTCTGTTTCACCTGAAACAATCTCAGGGCTGCGAAGATTTGAGGTGTCATGGTTTATCATGATGCTGCGTGCAGGGTATTGGTGGTTTGAAACATTTTTCTTCAAGTATTTTGTATGCCATTTTGCATGCGATTTTATTTGCCTAAATGTCAGAGAACCGTCGCATATAATAAGAGCACCTTTTATATTAATAAAAATGCCCCATCACTTTTCATTTCTAGCGATCTCCTTGCCAGTATGGAATCTGATTTGACGCGTATGGGTCCGCGGTAGTAGAACCATACTATCATTTGATACGTATCGACAATCGACGACCATCAAGTCACTTCAATGATTTCCATTCATATCCATAAGCATTGCTATGGAACCGGATCATTTTTGAGTCTCTAGAATCCGGATGTTCCTGCGTCAAAAAGGGATGCCAACATTATGAAGCATATTGACTCTAGGGTTGTGAGAATACATTGCCAACCTTCGCCCAAACAGTATTATTCGAAATACCTTCTGGTGGCAAAAGACTAAAAAGTGCATTTAGTAGCCTACCATTCATCTTTGTTACGAAATGCTTTACAGGACAAATATATTCATTGTATGTACTATAAACGTTTATGTAAATAAATACATAATTCATTTAAATTATAAAGAGCTAAAATATTATTTCACGGAGTTTAATGTTTTGTTCGTTGATTATATTTAAGTATTTTGGTGCTCCAGTAATGATCTCACACTTTAGTTTCTCTGCAATAGTGTCAAAATGTTTTTAAAGAGGCACCAATATGATTTTATGTCCTGTTGAAAAATCCATGTTTTCATTACTCTATAACAGGAATATGCATTTATTAATTGTTATTGAGCCATGTAAGCATATACTGTTATTTCTCCACATTGTATTACAATGTTTGTAATGTCACTTTTTGACTTATATATTTGTGCAGGTATTTGTTGTATATTTTCGTACTCTACAAGAATTAGCATTTTATTTACAAATTGTATTTCTTGCTTTACTCAACTATTATAAATTGTACATTTTCTTTAATTTTTTTTCCAATTTTTGATAATTGTGACTGATATACTTTAGTGCTAATCCTATAAATGTAGTGCTTAGATAATTATAGTAAATAAATAAAGATAAATAAATAAATGAATAAAGTCATCTCTTTTGTCAAATAACTTACAATATATAATATTATCTAGTTCAATGTTATAAGGTCAATATAAGGTGCACTTATATAATCAATTCTAGCAAGGCAGGATATATCCTAGTGGCTTACGCCTAGATACATGTAAGCTCACCTACACAGTCTTTACATTTGGGTTGTCTAAGCTCAACAGGTCATGAATACACATACGCTGTAGTTCTCTACCTAAGAATTTCAAAATTCCGGGTTGATTTATTTTAAAAATCCGGGTTGTTTAAAAAATATACCGTGCTTAAACCGGGCTCAGATTTTATTGAAAGGAGGACGTATTAGGTTACAAAACAATTTCAGACAATTCTAACTTGAATATTAAACATGTTAAATATTTTCTGATCATGATCATGAACATGGGTGTATCTTTTAGACCCTCTGTCACGTCTGTCATCTTCAAGAGAAGTGGATATAATGACCTAATTTTCACCAAAAATACAGCCTTTTATTGTATTGTTGAATGCATAATAAGAATGTGATTTGAGACATGTTCTATTTCCTAAAAGGAAAAATTGATTGCTCCACACAGGGACTTTAAAGATACTGAATTTGGATAACCAAAAATGTACTGAAACCAATGGATAGTATGAGATTTTTCAATGGAGAAACAACATGGGGAACACTATGAAAAACTCGGAATTCATATATGAATAGATAGGTATTGTGAATATACTACCAACATTTCAAACAATAATATGTATTACTTTGGTTTTAAATGAAAAATCTAAGATTTTCACGAAAAATTCCTGCCATTTTTAAAGTGGCAGCCATCTTGGATTTTTTTTGTTGCGTACAACTATTCACAAGAGGGGGATTAACCCCAGAGTTCAAAGATGACATACGCTTATAATGTAAACCTGTATTGAGATGACATACACCTCTGATTGGTCCAAATCGATAAACAAAAATGGCGGATTCAAAATTTTCTAATAACGTTTCGAATAATATTATGTTGATTCCTGGCGTATTAACCAATATCATGTACTCCCCTCCATAAGTTTGGCAACCTTAGCTCCCCATTGAACTACGTGTTAAAGCCTCTTTACGTTTGAATTCTTATTTACTTAACCTGCGATGAAATAACTTATAATATTAATGGAAACGTAAATTGACTTTATTTCCAATACCTCCAATTTTCCCAATATTTTTCCTCAATTACAATTATAGGTCGAAAATTGATGATAAATTTGATAGTTTTTTGAAAATCGTCATTGATCCCATGTAAACCAACGGCAAATGTTGGGTTCGGGGCAAATCAGAAATCGGGATATCTATTTAATAAAAGATTCAGCAAAAGATTTACATAAAAATCGAATTGTCTAACTACTTTTTTGTACACTAAGTTTTTAGTTTACTTGATGAATACTAAAGTTACGGAGCTTCAAAGTCATTTTTTAAATTCATTTTTCGCCTCCTGTGTTATTTCAATGGGATAGTTTTTTTGAAAAACAATTTTGACTTTGAAGCCCTATAACTTTTTTGAACCTGAACAAACATATCAATTTTTTGATAAATAAACTTAGCAAATTCAATTGCCTACCCAACTCGTATTTATTGCAAGGACTCGGATGGATGGACTTGCGGCAAATTTACCATTTCCCATTGGTTGACATGCGAATGTCAATTTTCAAAAATTCATCATATATATCATCAATTATCGACCTATTGTAATTGAGGAAAAAAATTGGGAAAATTTGGAGGCATTGGAAATAAAGTCAAGTTACGTTTCCATTAATACTATAAGTTATTATATCGCAGGTTATGTAAATAAAAATTCAAAGGTAAAGAGGCTTTAACACGTAGTTCAATGGGGGAGCTAAGGTTGCAAACTTATGGAGTGGAGTGTAGCTTGATTTTTCACATCAAGATAAAGAAATATGTAAGAAATATATTTACATCGATTAAAACATCATGACGACGCGCCATGTTCGAAAATTAACTGATGAGAATTTGCGCAAACGAAGGTGGTACGCAAGAGACGTATTATGTCAGTCATCGCTAAAGCTCTTGGGTTTCCCCTTCTCTTACTATTCACCAATATACATCTTTCCAACAAATATGAAGAAAATCCGTCCGATTTGGACTTTGAAAATTGTCGAAATATTTTAACAATGTTACGTATTTTGTAATAATTCACTTATACCAGACGTACACGACGTCACATTAACATGACAAAATGTCACCACCCAGCAGTTGCTTACAATATTACGAGTTCAATCCTAAGTAAGATTTGTAAACATTTCTTAGAACTTGTAGATGATTTTGAAAAAATAAATTGTTCAATTTGAAGCAATTTTAAAAAAGACCTTTTTTGACCCTGAGAAGGTCATTGAAGGTTAAATCTCAAATCTAAAGCCAGATTTGAACTTCCAAGAACTTGTAGATGATTTTGAGATAAAATTGGTCAATTTGAAGAAAGATGAAAAAGCCAGATTTGAACTTTTGAGAACTTGTAGATGATTTTGAAAAAACAATTGGTCAATTTGAAGCAAGATGAAAAAATACCTTTTGACCTTGACAAGGTCATTGTAGGTAAAATATTTTTGACCTTGAGAATGTCATCATCACCTAAGAGAGGTGCAGGATTAATTGCGCCGACACATCGTTCTATATACGACCAATTTGATCATGACAACAATGATATACACACCTTCTACAACAGAAACTGCAGACATCCCCAAGTAAAACCCAAAAACATTACCGATGTCCTTCATTACATTGTCATATATGTATGTTCTTTCTTGGTATACTCTTCTCACATCCAACGATTCAAAATGAATATTTAATTTCATAAAATTTGTCTTAACTATTTCGTCAGTAAGTGAATCCATATTGTATTTACTTGATCCATTTGGGTGTGGACTTTGTTCAGCATCTATGAGCCTTAGATAATCGCAAAGTGTAGCTCCTATTGATGTATAATTCGAGCAAGACCTGTCAATAACAAATGGTTCATAGATAAGATCATTTAAAAGCTGCTCTATTTGACTGTGTTTCTGCTTAAACATTTGGAATCCTCTCTGCCCCAAAACATTGAGGACACCCTTCTCTGGCCATGGTATTGTGTTAATCAGATGAACGTAAGTGTTTTCTTTACAGGGCCTTCTGCAATCACACTGTGCTGTGATTGTGCCGACTTTGGACCAATGCTGTTCACACTTCAAAGTATCGATGATTCCTTTTATGGCTCCGAGTAAATTAGACGTCCCACATCCCTGTTCATATCCAGTGAAAAGTCTAGATATGTTTCCACAATATTGCACTTCACTGAAGTTGTGGTTGTTTGGAATTATATACATGCGTGAGACACAACGGCATTCCTTTATGATTTTCTTTTGCATGCATTGGTCCACACAACTCTCGTATGAATACTTAAATTCGGAATTCCTTGAATAGTTTTTCTCAGTACATTTTCCATATGGTGGCATTAGTCGGGTTCGCTCACTCTGAATTATCTTCACAGATGCAAATCTACCAGATGTGACATGAAAACCTTCTCTATAAGGTTGTGGCATTGCTCCTGTTTCGTGGACTACTACTTGTACGCCATCACTAGGTTGAGCATGTGCAGATGAAAATCCCATGTTCGCTTTCATAGTGTCTTTCCTAAACGGTTTTTCTATTGGGTTATATCGCCCCGTGAACAATATTAATGTGATTCCTTTATTTGGGCCAATTTCATTGACGTGTTCAACAACTGGAGCATTGACGTTTAATGTGAAACATCGTCCAAAGGTCGTATGTAAAGGTGCAATAGTTATTTGTTCATCACATGGCTTGTCATCATATGTACATTCCAATATAAAATTCTCTTTCTTGATCGGATGCATGCTGGGAATATTGACATGATTTATGGGTACGTTCTCTACCTGCCATTTATTGTTTGTTGCATGCAGCCGTAGTGACAAATCGCGGTATACTTTTTCGAGTGCTGTATGCAGTCTGCATGGAACTGCATTCTTGAAGAAATTGTAATCTCTTGTTATAAACATGTAAAACATCTGGGTGTCATACGATTCATACTCGAGTTTTCTTATAATTGCCCCTATATCGTACGGTACAAGGGGGCACAATGTCACTGCTGGGAAGGCCAAAGGTTTGGTGTTGATTGATATGCCGTCGGCTACAGGGTACGAATAGTATTTCACGACCACTTCTGTTATGAGATAAACAGCCAGACAGACCACTCCTATGAAAACAAGTGTCCAACCGACTCTAGAAGATCTACCCTTTGCCTTTAGGATTCTCTTTGGTCCGTGTATTGACGTAATATTAGCGAATCCCGCCAAAGCAGTCCTTATTTCGGCATTGAATGATTTTGTCTCAATATGGTTGTCTATCTGAGGGGAACCGTGCGAATCTTCATATAACGCGTGAGAATTTGGACAATCCTCTGCATCTTGCTTATCACTTTCTTTTAAAGATCTGATATCATTCTCTCTTAAGTTAATGCTGTTATCTTGATAATTGTGCGCATTCGCATCCAGTCCTCGAAAACGTATACAACCATCTGTGTCTTTTTGCACACTTTTATTTTGACGACTTTCATCAATTCCTGCTATGTCATCCGAGTTATGTAGATCAATGTCAACTTTCACACTCAGTGTTGTAGACTTTACATTTCCATCTTTGTTTACTTGTAGATCAGTTTCATTTTCGGGCGCGCTATTAATAATGTTTTCCTGTTCGACTCGTTCAGCATTTGAACTTAAAGTTACTGACCTCACACTACGTGTCTCACGTTTGCCATCTGATACATTGTCTTCCATTTCAGGACTGTTATTCCAGTATTCTCTATACCGTTGTCAAACATGAGACTTCGTTTGGTCTGTCCCTAGTTCATGTACATTTTCCCGATCAGTTGAATATCGTTTATAGTTTTTATCGAACTTATGGTTATTCATATCTCTAGAATCAATGTCATCTTCATAAATTAATTAAACGTATCAATGTTTGACTTGTCCCTAGTTCTTATGCACAATATTCCAATCGGTTAGATTTCTAATTTAAGCTTTTATTAAACATATGCTCATTCATATCTCTTATGCCATCTTCATAAATTCATCGTTGTTGTTAATTACCAATAATGTAACGCGAATTACAAATATATTACCATGAGAAGGTTCATATCGAAGAATCGTCGTCTCTGATTTCCAAGTGTTGAACGTTTGCGTTATCTTGGTCAGAAATAGCCCAGTATATATATTATATGGTATACATGTACATCTTTGAGCAATCCCCATAGCAATATCTATTCTAGATGTCATAGTTAACTTTTTGCATTATTGTTGCGCTGATTCATATAGTTGTTTTCATTTTATGAGCATACATGTAAAACCCCGTCAAATCTAATGCTTGATTCTCAACATCCCATCGTTATTAGCTTTTTGGATGATCTAATCCTGATTATATATTATGATATTGCATCATAATGAATTAGTAAGCTTTTAATCATCATTATTTCGGGGAATTTTGATCATAATGCAACAGTAATGCATTTCTCATAAATAACGGAGAAGATTAATGGATCCATCATCAAGTTTTGTGATACCAACTTACCGTTTTTATTAAAGTATGAATATCATTCAGTCATATAAATGTAACTTTGTAAAATATACATTTCAAATAGGCTTTGTCTCCAGGTCCTAGGATATAGCTAGGATGTAGTGACCAAGTACAAGATGTCATAGGTTAGCTAGGTAGAAATGATTGCTTTCGTTTTTAAAAGCATTGATCGGAAACTTAGCGTTACATACATGTATATCATGATTCTCTTAACACATGAACTGCACTACCACCATCTATAAATGAACATTTTACATGTTTAAGCTATCCAATTGGAGATTTTCTTCATGCATTTTTAATCATGTTTTAAACAATGATCATGATATGGTGTCTGGTTGGCAGGATCTAAAGGTTGATTATAAGATATGTACAAGAATTGCACGAAATAGACTATAAACGAAAGGCCTCATGAATTAAGATAAAATATTGGGAGAGGGTGGAAAAACATGGTTTATTAAAAAAAATTAACAATAGTTATTTTCTATAAAAAGGGCTTCTACTATTAATGCCATTGATTAGTTGTTTGTGTTTTGTTCACAATGACTTTAATCCGTTTTGGGGAGAATAAGACTTAAAATCTCAATTTCCACAGAGTAGAACTGGATGTACCAAAATTGTTTTACAATGTGAAATGGCCTGCCATAATTTTTTACAAGTATTGTTAACAAAATAGCTCCATTCAGTTAAAGTTTGTATCAAAACATTTATTGCTACATGTAAATCAATTAATAATACAATATATACAATTTCTTCTCCTTAATAAATGCATTAAGATAAATATGCCCACATGGTTGGCATTTCAAAAATGCTCTTTTATTTACAATTATGCCAATCTGACTACATTATAGTAGTTTAATTGTCCAATCAGAACAAATATTAATCATGACTATCAACGCGGTACAGAAACAAACATGTTTAAATTGAAGTTAACATCAATTTAAGTTAACATATTTTGATTATGGATCTATAGTGAGAAGGTTGTGTTTATCCAAGGCTCGTGAATATTGGCTGTGAGATATTCCTGAGACATTCAAATGAATAATACAATATCATGGCTATGATGGTTTTACACATTTTGAAACATGACCTCAAGAATTATGCACAATTTAAATATGGTGTATTGACCAAGATTTGTCAGTACATAACCTTGTATTATTCAACTGATATTTCAATAGTTCAGCTGGATAAATACAACATTGGAAATAAAAGGCAATGGTGGATATTCCTTATAATTGGATAGCATGATTCTGTTAATGTTATTACAGCAGACTTTACTGTTGCACTATCAGATATAATTGTCAATTGTTTACAATTGCATTATGTAGTCTAATCATTATAGTCTTGCTAAGCACTCCGACCTTTCACCAATTTTAGGAAAAACATGGACAAACAAGTACGCCTATAGCAGTAACATGTAATGGCTGCCTAATACATGCACAAATTCACACATAGTTTGCATCTGGAAGTTGTAACCATTGCCTAGCAACTTAACAAACATGTTAGAACGAGGAACTTCTATTGGTTGACTTGTAACTTTACAAACATGTATTCATACTGTCTGCTTTAGGAACAATCAAGGTGTAACAGCTCCCTTGTAAGGTAACAGTCAAGTACTGGCTACATCAGACACATGTATCCATTGCTTAAGTAAGGTTGCCTCCGTATATAGTGTCGATTATTAGTCTCAGTAATGTGATGATCTGCTGCTATCTGAAATACAAACATAAAATTTAAAAGATCTACATCAAGAATAATGCAAAGAAATATGAATGATATGTGTAAAACATATTATCTTATATATTTGTATTTTGTTTCAAAAGCAGCATTTATGGTTTATAGCGTTGTTGATGCTGTTAATTCATTTCAGATGTGTTAAGAGGTGAGACATCTGCAAGTAACACCCCAGTCACATTTGTCGCACGGCGGCCGCAAGTAGACCGCAGATCAATTAAATCGGTGAATTTCTGCGGCGAGCGTAGCGGCCTCCGTACGGCGAATGCAGATTTTACAGGCCGCAGAGAAGGCGTAGAAATTATAACTCGGAGTTATAATATTTGTTCATTTCTGAGGTCCCCGTAGAAATCAACTGGCTCAACAAGATTGAATCATTATTTGTCAATGTTTCACGATCACTTTTCATTTGATATTACATCCTAGCACTATGAATAACATTTATAAATTGTCCCGATGTAAATAAAATGAAAAAAAGTATTATTTATCAACAGAAATTTAAAATTCACCGTGCGGCTGCCGTGGGAAATGTGACTGCAAAAGTATGAGAGCGCAGAAATTCGACTGCGAAAATGTTACTGGCCGCAGAAATGATAGACCGCAAGGTCGCCGTAGGAAATGTGACTGAGGTGTTAGATGGAAAGAGGCTCAAATGAACAACACTTAGTCAAATGATAATCCTTTAAAGCAAGGAGAGAAATCGACATCAGTTAATCAGTACAAAATCATCAGATTAAAAGTTGAGGCAGATATACTTGAAAATATAAGCTACTATTAATATGTACGCCCAAGTGACAAAGGGAAAGTACCAAAAATCATAACAGAGAACAGCGAGAAAAAGAAAACATCTAAAATCACACCAGTCATAAAGAAAAGCACAAAAGGACTAATCCCAATTGAAGTTCCATTATTACAATCAACAATAACTCCAAGATACATTCTATTCATACAGAAGGCATTACAGTTAATGTTGAAGAATAGATAACCAATACTAATAACATCAAAAAAGGTCGATACTCGGGGGTTTCATTAGCAACAGGCAAGAGGCGATTTTCCCCGGTTGTTTTCACTAAATCCCCTGTTGACTTTTGGGGACTAATAAGTACCTGATCTTTCATTTGACACCAAAAACAGCTCAAACAGATCACATCAGACTTGACACTAGATCATGAAAAAATATTTTCTATCTATCAATTTATATATTTCAAGTTTTTAGCAATGTCATTGAAAGATGGCATTGTTGTTTGCATTAATTATCCATTCATTTTTGATAGGACTTTCAACCATAGTACGCCATCTTTTAATCCAAGAGTTATTTAAAACATACACTTTGTGAAAAGTGCTAATTCACTTATTTTGATCTCTGAACTTCAAATGCGGTTTTCTATGCAAGTATTTTTTTCACTTCAGTATTGACCCAAATTGAAGTTTTTATCATATTTGATTGAGTGCGTGAGTAATATGTCTCAAATAATATTTTGTCCCTTTCCTTCAAAAATAGGCGCATTGCCTGTTTAATTTTGCCTGTTGTTTTCATTTATATAGCCTGTTGTGGGAAATTCTCTTGTAACCCCTGATACTAGTACTCATACAAGATAGAGCACCCAATTAAATGATGAGGTTAAGAAAAATCAAGTCTTGAAGTTCATAAACGTATCAGAGGCTCAACATTACAATAATAAACAATTATATTGAAAAGTTCAAAATGTGACAAATGAATACATGTATGTTACTAACTAAATTGGTGACACCTATACATTCATACATATAAAAATTAAGTCAAGCAATATCTGTAGAATGTATAGAAGATGATATTGTTATTAACATAACTAAATGAGTGATACCAGACGCATTAACTGCTCATGAAAGTACTGTATATGTTACCTTTATACTGATGCTGGAAAGGCAGCCTTATGTTAGGATTTAGTTGAGGATCTATTGTGCCGTGCAGAGATGAATACAAAGCTGTAAAGCAGATAACAAGTTGCTAATCTAATGATTGACAGATAAAAGGACTTTTCAATAATCCAGGCACCTTTTGCTTTATCAAAAATATTTGCAAGACTGATGATATGATAGGTTTATGTTATAATAATCAAAGTTTTGCTAATTTTGAAATGTTTGAATAAAAACATGAATATTAAAGCAATATAGACCTAAGAGCAGGTATTATATCTACAAATAAATACTGCAGGGCTAAGGCACAAACGTTTTCAAAAGTTTTTGTGCCTTGCCATAAGGTATTTATTACTCGACATAATACCTGATCTGGGGTCTATATTACGATTCGAGCATGGAAAATCACCAAAATTTAAAATAGTCACTCCATTTCCTATTTCCTACTTCTGGTTTAGCACTGAACGAAACACTTAGTAAAAACCAGATATTGTTTCAACAAATAAATACAGCTGAAATATTGACTTTGTTTACAGTTCATAGAAGACGTAAAACAGTCATGTTGGAATGGATATTTTTACGACACACAAACATTAATATTATAAATCTGGCAAATATTTCTTTGCTTCCTTGATACAGCAAAAGGTGGCAGGGATTGTTGGAAAAGCAGAAGCTCAAACTTAAAGAGATTAAGAGTCATCATTTCAAGGATAAGAATCCTTTACTATTGTCGTTACATGCTTTTGATACTAGCATGACAATCATAACATTTATTATTCACAAAATGAATTTGATATAAATGATATGTAAAAGTTTAAATTTGATACTGATCATTATGATTTTTAATTCATCAACAGAGCAAAGACATCACAGAGGATGAGTGAATATTTGTTGCATCTTTGAAAAGCTCAACAATTCCCTGCTGGATATTTTAGAGAAATACAAAATATATAAAAGAGTAACAATGGTAGACATGTGAAGATATAGTGCAGGAAAAGATCCTTTACAATATAGCTTCTGGCAGAGTTCTTAAATGTGTTATGTAACTTACAAAACAAGGCTAAAAGCATGGACATTCAGGTAAAATGGCCATTTTTTCAGAGTGTGTAAAAACATTAACTAAGAGCCTTACTTATAACATGACATAACATGAAATTATAAGTTCCAATCAAAGCATCCTATATTATATGATCCATAGCATAAAATCAATAATACATAGTTATGCATAAACCTTGGTAAAATTTAATATCCTTGCAAGGGGTCAAATTTTGAAAAATAAAACTTTTTTTTGAAAAAAGAGAGTTCTTAGGAAATTGTATTAAATGTATGTTTTTTCAATTCAATTTATTTCATAATTCTATAAAAACAAGCCGCTAGACACCCTAGTGGGTATATGTTGTGGTTTAACAGAATTTTTAAAATGACATCTAGATTAAATATAAAGATACTAAATGTATGTAACAATGTTAAATGTGTCAAATGAAATGGTATGATTAAGTGAGCCATGATTTCAACATATCACAGTCATACTGATTGAACTATTACTATGGGTGTTAGCTTAACACTATTATGTTGTATTTCAACATTGAAAATGAATGATATTGGTTAAGTAGAAAATTCTTTGCAACAATGCCTTGCTCCATCAACACTTCAATCAAGGCACGGCAAAGGGATTTCTCAGAACAATAGAAGAATTGGTGACAAGAGGCTTAACCTAGGGACACTTGGGATGTCACCATTTTAAAAATAGTTGACATCTTGTTAAAGTTAAAAGGACTGTGACAAATCATAATTGTTAATTTGAGAGATACATTAAATGATACTTGTATGATAAAGCACTACATTATCTGTACATTTTTCAAATATTTACCTTGTGGAGTGGTTTGCCTTGGGCTTGTATGGTGCCCTATGGGTGAGTGCCCTACATGACTAGGGCTGTGGTGTCCAGGACTTCTGTGTAAAACATGACTGTAGGTTCCTGGAGCTGGACCTGCATAATATAAAATGTAATTCAATAGTTATTGTGATATTCATAGAATATCATGTCAAAATAAATAAATCAGTATTTTTCTTATGGAAAAAGTAGAAAAATCATCACTTTTTGACAAGGAGAACCCCCAATAAGGAGAGCTTTTAAGGAGGACACAACTATTTTATTCTGGAAATCATCATGAAATTTTTAACATACTTTTAGAAATGAGCTGAATTTATACATCCTGAAATATTTTCTTTGAATTATTAAGACGTGCATTTGAACAATGGTTTTTGTGAAGCGATATTTAAAAATTCAATTTTCCATATTTAACCGTTGCATTTTGCTTAAAATCAATAACTTTCCCATTACTGTACGAGCAAAATAGAATGTGGCTAAGTTACATAATGAAGCAAAGTCTTAGTTAGTAAATGTTAAGATTTTTTTTACGAATTGGTTCCATTATTCCGTCATTCTAATGAGTGGAAAAGGTCTCAAAAACATATTTCTAGGGAACCGCCAATTGATTTATTTTTATTTTCTAAGAGTTCAGATAAATAGGTATCTTAAAACTGTGACACTTTGTTCCTATCCTATCAGGAGATACAGGGATTTTAACCACAAATAAAGAGTCTAACCTTAAAAAAACAAGTTCATTACCTTGTAAAAAATGTTCTTAAAAAAGCAATTTTTATATCACACAAGTTGTTTTTGGGAATATCTAAGATCACCTAATATCTAAGATCATCTCTGATGTAGCGTTAAACTTCCATGATGATCACATCCAGAATAAAAAAGCAATTGTCCTTCTAAAAATCTCTCCTCATCAGGGGGTTCTCCTTTCCAAATATACAAGTATGGCAATTTGTGACATACAAGTATACAATTTGAAAAATACATCGGTCATTGCAAATAATTGTAAGGTAAAAAAATACATGGAATCCCTTACTGTTAATATATACAGCATTAGTGGAAGATCATAATTTTCAAAAGAGAAGCAAAAAGGTCAGTTATATAATGAGATACTAAGCTAAGAAAATGTAAATTGAGCTGGGGTGAGTCAATCATTCTCCAATCTGACCCATGCCAATGATGTTCTATTGGTTTTTATGATTATCACATCTATTACCACACGCACACAGACAATGCATAGTCTTGGTAGACTTTCTTTGAAATGAGGTTTTTACTTACCAGTTATAACAGCATCTCCACTATTACCAACACCATGAATGCTGCTTGGAGGCTGTTGGGAACTATTTGCAGCTAGACTTGAGGTAGTGTTCTTATGATACCCAGCTGATTGGTAACTTGAAATCGACTGAGACTGGCTCCCAAAAGCATTTCTACCTGTAAGAGAATAGCATCACAAATTACTCCATTGTGTAATGGGGGGGGGGGGGGGGGGGGGGGGCGGGGGGGTGTAAAGAGGTCAATTTGTCTATAAGCGTTCAATCTGACTTGGTTCTTTTCAATCCACTTTTGAGCAACCTATATTCTAATGTTTCATTTAAAGTCTCCAGAGCCAGAAATGTACCATAAGCCCATTTATTTAATGCATAGTGGTTTCCTGTATCAGGATTTATAATACCAGAACTAAGTTAAGCTAAGCGACCATCTATAGTTCAACCCATATGAAGAAACAAGATAGTTGCGATACAACTAAATTCAAAATATAAATGCTTGCCACACACCTGATGTATACTGCTGCACCATATTCTGATAAGATCGAGCATAGTCTTCAGTCCCAGTTGGACGATGGGGTTTGCTTGGTACTGAAGATCTCTGGGTCTGGGGAGACTTTTGAGGTGAAACAGGTGAGGCACGTTGCTGCACTGCTGATTTCAGTAATGATTGAAACTCGGCCTCATCAACTGGTTGCCTCTTTGGAGGTTTACTCACCTAAAGTGTCAATTCATACTTAACATTCAAATTTATAATTCCATTTAATTTTAAACATATATCATTAAATTTTCTAAATAGTTATTTCAGATCTTGCACCTCCCAGTTCTTAACACTTGGCTAAATAATTGACATGATCTATTTTTAAAGATTATTAGATACTGGAAGTGGTTAATTATACCACACGCTTCAGTGAAAAATATGTGAAGCAATAAAAATACCTAACAAAAATTATATTGTCACAATTAAATTTTAGCACATTTAAAAGTTACAATCCTGCAACGTTTATATTGGCAATTTATAATTGTGGTAATAATTTGAAAAAAGTAAAAAGATACCATTTGGTTGCAATTATTATGAAACCATCTATGACAGATTCAAAACTCAGACACCAGTCACAAAAACAATGGAAAAACCAACCTTTGGTTGCTGTTGGTCTGCTTTGGTCATTTCAGCGAACTGAGTCATGTTCAAGTTCATTCCTAGAAACGGTGGGGAGGCGGCACGGGTTGGTTTGTCTGATAAAATAGTAGATAATTGTCCCTGAACACTTGGTGATCGTAAATATTGCAAAATATCTGCATCTGGATTCCAGCCAGTCCCTGAAGTGGAAACCGCATTTCCGGCAGATGGCGACACCCTCTGGGGGCTTTGATTTGACCTCTGAGGCACTGAGGTCGATTTTTGTGGATTGTTTTGAGGTTTTTGAATGTTCATCTTTTGTCCCTGACTCTTTTGGCTGTGTTCTTTATGCATATGTGTTTTATGAACATATGGCATTTGAGCAGAGTGTTTTGGCTGAGTATTGGCTGCAGGTTTAGCAGTCCCAGAATTCCCTGAGTTTGCTATGGCTTTATTAGAGTTTGAGCCTACTTTTTCATTGGCTGATTGAGTTATCTGAGTCTTGACTGGCTTATAATGCCCAGAGCTCTTAGTATTTCCTGATTGGTGTACACTGGTCAATGACTTATTTTGTTCAGTGAACTTTTTAAATTGTTCAATAAATGAATTATCTTGAGGTTTTGAAGCGACTGGTGATACAACCATTGGTGGTAGGGGTTGTGGTTTCATCTTTTGTACAGAAACCTGTTGAACAACTGACAGTTTTTTGGGTTGTAAGTGGCTAGCAGATCCTGATGTTAGTGGTGTACTTGGTGCTGTTTTAGTGTTTACTTTGGTTGCATTGCCTGTACTTGCCGTTAGGGCAGTCAGAGCTTGTGTAGTCTTTTTTGTTGGCTCTGTCTTACATGTCGACTGAGCCTTCAGTATATTTGAGATCTGTGCTGTATTTGTTAATGTCACTGGGGTTGAACTTGATAATGGTTTTGCTTGAAGAGGTGGGTCCAATCCACCAGAATAGCTAGCAGTGTACATTTCTGCAGCATAGTCTAGTATAGTCTTCACAGGAGCTAGTTCCCCTTCTGAGTCCTTAACAGGTGATTTTGAGGTTGTTTTATTCTCAGCTAATAGCAAAGAACCATTTACTTGTGAAAGGGTATTTGTGTTGGAAGTTTTGGTCACTATCACAGTTTTCTTAGGTTTTTGCCTGGAAGTATATAAACAGTTTTCATCATTTAAGAATTGTTTTTCAAACGTGTATATAGTGTTAAAACATTTTCAGGCATATCGACAATGGTAAAAAATGCAACAATAAAAAATACTTTGTATTTATTCTACATTATTGGTTCACACCTCTGCTCAAGATAATATGAGTATTTTGACTTAAGTTCACTTTTTGTTTTTAAAAGTCAAATTGTTTGCATGATAACAATCCAGAAATAGGTCACTTTTGGCAGAGGGGGTTAACTGAATACTTACATAAGTGTGTTTGTAAATGATGAATGTGCGGCACGACTTTCTTTAAACAGTGTCCTGAAAATAATCAATATTATTAACGTAAATAATTTGAAGGATTAATATTGTTTTATTTATACAATATATGACATAATTAGGGCTTAAGTAAAATTGTTTTGATTCCATAATATACAATAAGAAAAATAAATAAATCACGTAGAGAGAGCCAGCTTAAGTCATTTTACAATAGCTTTATAGCCTGATGTACATTGTGTCTCATACCCGTTATGCATATGCACAAATATGCATATAACTGATGCACAAATATTAAATGAAGTGCCACTAAAAGCAATATGTCAAAATATATTTTATTGGGAAATATTCAATCACTTTATTTTTTATTAAAAAACAATCATTTAATCATAGCATAGGTATAAGTAACAATTGAATTGCTTCAATCTTGGATTATTCTTTCAAGCCAATCCGGGTACCAAGTTTGTGTAAAGTTAAAATTTGGGATTATAGCAAATAATATTAGCATAAAATAGTATATTCATTTGATTAAATACAGTAGTTATCAATTGTGACAATACCTTGTTTGCATCCATCCTTTTGGCCACAATGGTTTGATTTCTGAATCTAAGAAATTTTTCAGGAATTCCTCAGCTGTCTGTCCTTTCACCTTTGTAACGTTGAAAGCCTGCATCTTCAGTCGCACAACATTGCACAGTAAAACTCTGGGGTAAGAAAGAGAAAACAATGACATTTACGATGGTAGCCTGTTAAAAGTGGAAATGAACACTGAAAAAGGCACACATGGCAGCCTAAAGATAGATGTGAGAAAACAATTTAATGAAAATGACAGCATATGAAAAATTGGGAAAAAATCATTTTAAAAAAGGCAGCCTATGATTTATGGGAGAAGACAATGTAATTATCAAAGCTGGCAGTCTTAGGATAAATGGGAGAAAACAATCAACTCATAAAATGGCAGCAAAAAACAAATGACAGAAAACAATGAAATTAAAAATGGCAGCATTTTGAAAACCAGTAAAAAGAATGAGATAAAATAGAAAGATGCAGTTTTATTGATCAGATATAGTCTAAAAAGTCCAATAGTTTCAATACATGCAAATGCTGATACAGATAAACAAATAGATGAAAACCAACCTTAATGGTTCTGACCATTCAAACTTCTTTGTTGGAGCCCTGGTTTTCTTTTTCTCATCCTTATCCGTAGCTTTATTGAGATCATCTGGTCCCTGAGAATTATCATCAACATCACTCTCAGCTGTGGAAGTCTCCTTTTCATTCCTAGTATAGAGTAAACATTTCATTTCATTTCTTGTTTAATACACATATTGATGAATTCACATAAGCACAAAGTCATGTCAAAGAGAAAAGGCTAAAGAGTGTTAGAAAACAGACCAAGAAAATGAAACATGAAAGAATGAATTATCATGTTTGTCTTTTTTAATACGAGACAAAAAATTATTCATCCAAACCAAAAAACACAGGGATTTGGACCTAACCTATATCAATCATGTCAATGCTTGACATTAATCCAAATACACTTACTGTTCAATTTTATTCAGTGTCACAAGTCGTTGGTATTTTTCTATTTGCTCAGGCATAACTTTAATGATAGCATCTTTGAGTTTGTTGATTGGAACTCGAAGGATATCATCTTGCTCATTCTGTTGTAATTTCTTTGCACGCTTTACCAGTGTTTCCTTGCCACATGGTAAGAATGCAGCCAGATGGTTGTACATGGCTGACCTCATTTGACTGTTTAATTGGCGACTCAGGTTTTCGACTCTAAAAATGCAACATACTCTATATAGATACTATTCTCAACCAGTAAAAACTATCATAAAAACAGCATATATTTGGTCATGGGGATAAAAATAGTGGGATTCCCATAGCGGACAAATTTTGCGGCCCAACCAATGGTTAAGTTGAGCTCTTTTAATGTTTGTACATATTATAAACATTTGTATTTTTTGGAAACATTTATTTTGGTGAATTATTCAAATATGCCAAGAAACACTCATTGGCTACTTACTGTAGTAAAAGCTTGTTGTTGTCTGTCGTGAAAAACTTAGATTTACCCTCAATTGGTTTAGTAGAGGCCTGGAACACAAATGCAAATAAAAAAATATATGTATGTTATGTATGTTTATTTATTTTTCAACGCCTTTTAAATATACAAATTACAAATAAATCGTTGCCTTGAATTATTTCAACAAATATTGATGTGAAGTATAAAGTTGCAACAATTAGTGCAGGGGGGGGGGCCTTCAACGATCATTGACCAGCATCAACATATATTTAAGTTTGGATATTTCATCAAGACTAACATATATATTTATTATCTACAAAGAAACCCCCTGGATGAACACTATTTCAGCTGATACTTCTCTTGAAACGTGGCGGATCTTAAAAATCTATAAGTGGGACTCCCTTTATAGAAGCTTTAAACTGAATTTAACTACAGTGAATATGTATGCGCAAATGCCAATGAAAAAGTACCAAAAATGAGCACAGCAAGAAAAATAAAGCATCAAATAGCACACCAGAAAACTGATTGAAAATGATAAGAGTGCCAAAGAGGATAAAGCTTAAACAATGATACATCATACATACATCTTTGAGTTTCTCTAGGACTGACTCCAGTTCTTTGGACAGTCCTGCAGGAAGCTTAGGAGCATTTTCAGGGCTTTTACTGTCTTCTGACTCTGTAACTTTAATTTCAGGGCCAGTATTTGAGATATTAGACTCATTGGTTGCAAAACTTGGTGTGACGGCTGTTTGGGATGGATCTCGTATTGGTTCTTTTGAGGTAGAGATGTTTGGTGTTTTGTCAAAAATACTGCTTCCTTGGTTGAGCACTGAATCAATGGTTGAGTCTATTTTGGTGTGCATTTCTTCAATATCAACATCGTTCACCTGAAAATGCAACAATTACACTGTTATTTATTGTCTGGAATATGTTTCTCTATCTGTTTGATTAAATCTTATAGATTGTCAGATCGACAATAAATGTTATTTAATTTGTTTTGAATAAAAGCCTATGATACTCTTCTTCATTTAAAGTAACACATTGACGATGTATCTAAAATCTGAAACCTCAAAAAGTAATAGAAATGACTATATGTTGTATAAAAAGAGATTTTAAAAAAATATTGTGGCCTAAAGATAAATAAAAAAAGAAAAAAATCTTGGGCACGACCGGGTTTCAAACCCAGGGATTCGAACCACCAAAAGCTGGTGCAGAAGTCCAGCACCTTTATCCATTAGGCCACAGGGACAGGTCGAAGTACTCGAGTAATTTTTAAGCTATGTTATGAATTATAGAAAACAGTTGAATCAATGCATAAGATTAATAAAAAAAATAGTCAATAATCATGCTAATAATATTTAAATATATATTTAGGTAAATATTCTAAGCCAAAATGATGTAAATCCAGTTTTCATTTAGATAATGTTATGACTCGTAAAAAAATATGGCCTCCGAAAAATATTTCTTGCTTCCAATTTTCAAAATGATATATATCCATGGATCAGTTTTTTTTGGCACCTGAACCCATCCTAATAGAAAGGTAAGACTATTTTCTTGAAAAGTATTCCTTGAAATCCCAAATTTCGTTCTCTAAAGTATTTGAAAGTCAGTTCAATAAATCATACTGACTATTGATGTTATCACCGGATTTTATATCCAATGATAATCAATAGTACAATAATGTCATTTCTAAGGGCAATATTTCGGCCCAAGGTCCAATATTTCACTATATTGCTCGCAGAAATGACGTTATTAGTATTATTACCACCGTTAACGACCAGGACTGAAACAGCAAGAAAATCTTACGCATTGAACGATATCTAATTTCCCGGGGAAAATCGTTGCCGGTCAAGAATATATTCTAGACCGGTCCATATGGACCACCACTATGAGGTCACACATTTCTCAGGTCAATATAGTAAAATAAACGCCTTCTAAACTAGCACTAAAACCCCTAGAACTGGCCTGGCAAGGTGGTAATAATGTTTATTTATTCCTAATTACTATGAATAAACAAGGGATTAATATATAATATAGATATAAAAAACATGCATGTAATTATTAATAAAAAATGGCTGCCTTACCTCCATCCCATCAAGTTCTCCATTTGTAAATAGTAAAAGGTCGTCCTCATTCTCTGGTACAACAATCTTCCCAGTGATGTAGTCCATAGCAGATGGACCAGTCTTCCTAAAAAATATATATTACTATTGTATTTTTAACACTCAGAGAATTAATTTTTCCCGGGAAATTCCTTAATCTACTTACCATTCAGAAAACAAATGTCACAATCAAAAACCACAAGAGTATGGGACATTTTTAATCATATTGATGTCATCACAATATACATTGTTTTACAAAATAGAAATAATGTCCAAAATTCTTGACATTATAAGTAGGCAGGGAAAGAGTATTCATACATGATGGAGTATTCAGTGTCAAATGATGATAAAGTGACAAAATCTAAGTCCAAAGAGTGTCTACTAAGCCGTCATTTTAGTGATCAGCATCCATCTGCAAAGCTTACATCAGAATTAGATGGGGCAGAAAAAATGTTCAACTTAGAAACACTACTTGCATGTGGTACAACAATAAATAGATGCCTTTTTCTTTTCTTTTGAGGATACTAGGATACTAGATATTTTGTAATCAACAGTGTTCTGATGGGGGGAACACATTATTCTTCACTGTGCTTATTTTTTGTATAACTCCTCAGATTATCAATAATACTAACTAACAGATACAAAACTTACTCTTTAGGAGGAGGGATATCTTTCTTAGATTTTTTCAATGGGTTTTCTCCTGGTATCATTCCCGAGATCATCCTTTTCTTACTCTTTATCTTCTGTCTTTCTTCTCCATCCTTTAACTTCTTCTTCTGCAACATTGTATATAACATTAAAAACATTTATTAAATGAGACAATAATCATCTACTGTAACTTCTAAATCTGTAAACATATATACATTTTACTGTAAAGAAAATGAAAGCATGTATACAAATCTGTGCGTATGGAAAAAAGGATACACTAGTTCAATTTAAGGCATGATGTATTAATTTAATGATAGGCATGACCTTATACATATTAAAAAAACTGTTACAGTAAATTCTTAAAGTGCCTGCATGTGAAAACTCCTGTATAATAATTATACACCATCTGACATATTGTGAACTAAATTCAGCATCTTGCTTTGAAACATTGTAGAAATAAGACACTGAAAATTAGTCAAATATGCCGTGCACTTAGTTTCATTCTGTACGAGAATGAAGAAAGGAGAAATTGGTGGTTTATACTCTTCCTTTCGACTTTCATATTTTTGAAATCCAGACTGAAAATCTCAGTCACACTATCCCCAAATGTAACTGAACAAAACTGATTCTGTCAAACAAAAGTCATTGGTGAAGATGGACAAAACATTATGAACGTTTTTTAGCCCCCCCCCCACAACAAAATTATTACATTTTTGCCATTCAAATATAAATTGATCTTGTCCTTATATATGACCTTGTCATTATATCCTCAAATTTTGAATGGTACTATTTCCCCTTTCCCATGGATAACAAGTATCACGAAGAAAATCAAAACATCTATGAAAATGATGGGAATTCTGCATGTTACTAACTTATTAAAATGATAAATAATTAACATTATTAACAATAAGAATTTAACATGACATCAACAAGTAACTAAACAGTAACATAAACATAACAGTCCTTATCCTATAAATTACCCTGTATTCTGATCTGTTCCCTGGTTGGCTGTTATCATTCTTTGTAATAACCTCAATTTCATGATAACAGGGATTACATGGCTTTCCCTCAACAGCCCTGCTATCTTTATGAGATTCTTTAAGAAGTGATCGCTCATATTCCTTGTCAGCTATTGGAATAAACTCTCCCTTGATAACATCAATATATCCCATTTGAGATGTACATTCTTCAGTATGTAAATTTGGCTCATATTTCTTGTCAGTATACCAATGTGACTTTTCCTCCTTGGTCTTATACATAACAGGAGTGGTGGAATCTCTTTTATGTGATCTCTTATGTTTTTTGTGTTTTCTTCGTTTTGAATGTTTTGTAGGGCTTGGATCAGATGTTGTGATGGATAAAGCGGAAGTACTGCTAGCTGCGCTACATCTAGAATCACTACCATCATTGAGATCATCAACTATTTCTTTGATTTTCTCAATTGCTTTACAACGTGAACGCCTTCTCCCTTTCAGTGGGTTACCGGCAGTATTTGAATCTTTGTTTATCTTCAGTTCACTTTGATTTGCTATATTAGAATCTACATGTAAGATTCCATCAATTAAGGCTTCGTTTCCATGAATTTGTGGTGAGCTTCCACGAACATGGGGTGAGTTTTCTCTTTTAATGTATACTTTCTGAGGTTGTCTACCCTGATTTGAAACTACATTTGCTGGTTTTTGAGAATGCTCAAAATGCTCATCCCTTTTATCATGTGGTGTGACTAATCTTGTCGCTTCAGCTTTACACTTGATAAATAAACTCCTAAAACTAGAGATTGGTTCCTCATCTGAAGAAGTCCAGTGCTTTAATTCACCACTGTTCAAGCATTGATGCCTATCAGGAGTGACAATACGGGTTGAATCATGATGACTGTATGGGGTAGGGTTAGGGGTGGTGTCATGATGCCTGTTAGGGGTAATGTTAGGGGTGGTGTCATGATAACTATCCTGGGCAGGGATAAGGGTGATGTCATGATAATGTTCCTGGGCAGGGATAAGGGTGGTGTCATGATAACTATTCTGGGCAGGGATAAGGGTGGTGTCATGACGACCATCAAGGGGAGGGAGAGGGGCAATGTCATGATGCCTTTTGTGGGTAGAAATGGGCATCGTATTATTATTATATGCCTTGTCTCCCAAATCGTGTTTGTATTTCGAAAAGGGGGTGTCAATTTTTGCTTCCTCCTCAGTTGAATATGGTGATGCTGAAGCCCTAAGAAATGACATGAACTCCCTAGAAAATGCATCTTTTCTAAATATCTCTTCAGCTGAAATATAACTTCTTGGTTCAGTTGGAATGTCATTATTTTCACTTTTTGTATCTTTCACATGAACGACACCGAAGTTTGTTTTGTCCAGTGGATTTGATTTGATGGCCTTTTCAAATTCTTCTGATTGATCGTTTTTACTTGATATATTCTTCGTTACCTTTTCCTTTTTCTTAATTGGTATTTCCTCTTTCTCTTTTGATCTTGTTTTCTTGGCTTTGAGGCCATGCTTAATACAATGTTTATTTTTTACCTATAACAAAATTTATTTATGTTACAAGCGAGTCCAGATGATGTCAAATGTAGGAGGTATCTAATGAATAGTACCTTTATTCAAAAGATGAAGGATAGATGGTGTCATAGCAAGGATTAATGTGGCATGTACAGCTTTAAAGTTGAGGAATCAAAATACACAGGGTGGGCAAAAGGAGAGGGATCTCTTTAGGGAATTACTTTAATTCTGAGTCCTAAAGTACTTCAACAATAATATCATACCACTGTCAGGGGTTTCATTAGCAGCAGATAACAGGCAATTTTCACCGGTGTTTTCACAGAATCGGCTCATGTTTTTATCAACTTTTCAACTTTTCCATGTTAAATTTATGGTTTCCATTAAATTTGCCTGTTGTTTCCATTTGTTTAGCCTGTTGTGAGAAATTCCAGTGAAACCCTTGACTGGAAATAAAACTTCCAAATAATGTCAAAAAGCAGAATTTGAATAATCTGCGGAATAATATTGAATTATATTTTGCCTATAATGGTAAAAAATGTGAAAATCGTCATTTTAACAGGGTGCTAACTAATTTTTGACAGAGTGGCATGTAATTTGAAAACTTTCAACAGGCTACATAACCAAGTTGTACTCCCACTGCTGGGGTCACTGGATAGTGCATGTTGTAAACTGCATTCTGAGTTAGAGACTGGGTCCCTTTAAATTATTTTCAAACTTACCTTTTTCTTTATCTTCTTCGCTGTTTCAGTTTCTGATTCAGATTCGGATGTAATTCTCTGAAAATTTTTAAATGGTGGTACAACATAATTGAGTATACTGGGTGGCCCGAAAGTAAAGTATGTTTACAATTATTCAACAATCTCTCTGTAAACTGTGAATCAACTTTTGGGGCTTTTGCGTATTACAGTGAAGTCAACAGATAAATGGTCTTCGTTTTTTATCAAAGTTAGCCTTTTTTCATTTATTATCCAAAACTACCAATGTCAATAGAGGTGTGAAAATAGTGATTTCACAAAGTCAAAATTTTGTGAATTATTAAGGCAGCATCTGTAATAGTGGCAAGTACCATGCGTATTTAAATGAATTGGCCATAAAATGTGTTAATTCGTCGGCAGCTGGCAAATGAGTTGGCGAATGCTGCCTAAATTATTTATATAATTTTGACCTTGTGACATGGCTATAAGATTATCTGTCGAATAACTGAAAATTAAAAATCAACACATTGGTTATTGTTAATATGGCCTTTCCTCTACTTAAAATCATTCAATTTGGAAGTGACACATAGCACAGAAAACTTTAAACAGGAACTTTTAAAGAAATGCTAGTTCAGTATTAGAATATATAACTTGGAGTGGCATATAACTTTCATATAACATTAAATTGCATATAACTTTCATATAACATTAAATTGCATATAACTTACTCGTAAGTGCCATATAATATTAAATGACATATTACATAAGTGGCACATAACTGCCATATGGCTTTAAATGGCATATAACTTAAGTGGTAAATAGCATTATATGATATATTATTTTAAGTAGCATTCCATTTTTCAACTTTCATTAAGTGGCATGAAACCATAAGTGGCATATAACCTCAAATGACATATTACTTGAAGTGGCATATAACTTTCATATAACTTTAAGTGGCATGAAACTATAATGCCTGGGTCACATTTGCTCTGATTCATCAGCCGGCGCCCGGCCGATTAAGTATCATGTTCACAACTGTATTCAGTTTTGAACAGAATACTCAATCGGCCGGGCAGGAGCAAATGTGATCCAGGCATAAGTGGCATATAACTTTAAGTGGCATGAAACCATAAGTAGCATATAACCTCAAATGACATATTACTTGAAGTGGCATATAACTTTCATATCACTTTAAGTGGCATGAAACCATAAGTGGCATATAAACTAAAATGACATATTACTTTAAGTGGCATATAACTTAACTTTAAGTGGCATAACTATGAATTGAATATAACTTTAAATGGCATATTATCACTTGTGTTATACTTAAAACCAAATGGCATATACATTTCATGTAACTATAAGTGGCATACAACCTTAAATGTCATATTACCTTAAGTTACATACAACTTTAAAAGGAATATAATGTTAATATACACCCAAAATATAAAACAGAGCTGCATAACTAGTAAATAAAAAAACTCACCCTGATTTTCTTCTTTTTCTTCTTTTTGTCTCCTTTAAACTCATCATCTGAGTCGGAAAGTTGGCGGAAATCAAGGCGACCAGAATTTATGTAGAAGCCTCCCTTGGCTGTGTCCAGAGACTGTGGGACAATCTCATCATACTGCAATACAAACATATACACTTACACAAAAGATCATCTTAACAGTATTATTACTTGGCCTAAATTACTCTAGTGGACTTACATAGTTTGTGTCGAGGCTCACGTGACGCAAATAACTAAATCAAAATTTTATGGGTATCATTTTTCAAATAGCGCTCTAGTTTATGATTATCATGATTTGAGATGTCCTGGAATATTTCTAAACCTTAAACATGTCGGTATATGACACCATCTAGGTATCATCAGTTTAAATATCATGCATGTTGGGAAAAATGCATGGATGAGGTAATCAAATTACTCTTAGTAACTGTACTATTTTTTCTAAAATGTGGTTCAAAGGTTTCCATCCTAGATCTCCTAATAATGTCTCTATTGCTGGCTTCATTTTAATTTGAAAAACTGCTTCACCAGCTGAATACTGAAATTAATTAATTTTGGAAACAGCTGATTTAGAAAGAGCCCATGTGGGTCAATGACCATCAAACGAGTGTGAGAGCAGCCAGAAAAACTAAAATTTCAAAGTTGATAATTTTTAGAAAAAATTTAAAGAATTTCTAGAAGTCTTTTTATAGAAATCTAGATTTCAAATACCCTAATAAAATTTTGATTATTAAATTGAATATTCTGTTGAATAGTGTGCTCCCAAAACTTTATGTCTTAGGCGAAGGGGGTTTAAAGCCATTTCAGTTTGCTCTCCGACAAATTCAACATTTCAGTTTTGTGCAATTTTGACTTGGAATGGTTTAAAAGTCATACCAATGGATTCTTTTCTATCAATAGTTGTTAAAGGTTGTAAATTAGACTAATCACAGGCACATTATGTTTTTCATTCTGTGCATGAAGTAGTGTAATGAAGTAGACTCACATCGGGAAGTCCAGACAGTCAATATGGTACAACGAAAATGGGACTTCTGCGCATGTTAAAATTTTTCGTCAAAACTCAACTTTTGTTCAAGTTGATACGATTGTCTTTCGAACTAGAGACTTACCTCATTCGAAAGATCATAAAAGACTTTATCTATACTGAAAATCTTAGATCCAAACATAGTAGAATACGCCGTCAGTCCGCATTTGATTTTTTGAAGTGAGTTTCATAGATCGTCAGATTTCTCCGACTGATATTGGATTATCTCAAATTGGTTCGTTTATAAATACGAATTTCTTTTCCGTTGTAAGGCGCATGCGCAAAATTGATTTATAAAACGTTATTGGTTGATGGTTTTTCTCCTGAGCATGCGTGAAGTCTGATGACACTTATGACGAAGACCGGAGCAAACATTACTAGCTCTAGAACGAAATTCCAAGATTCAGATCATTTCGCGGTGTTTGCTAAGCGTGTATACGTGAATGACAAGCTGTTTTGAGTAGATCAGGTACCTGTTTTAGACAAAACATTGATTTAGCTTGACATTGATGTGCTCATTGGCACTTTTGAGCATGTTAATACAAGTTTTTACACTCTTAGCATGAGACGGGTTTTCGAAAAATCTGTTATCTGATTCACTCGATTATCGTATGGATATGTATTCCTGCTGACATTTCAACACCACATCACATAGAATTACGATGCAGAATGATAATAAAACACAAAACAACGACTAAATTCCACTTGTTATTTCACAGGAGGTAAAAATGCAAACTGCCTAGATTCTTTGTAAGGGTCGTCAGACATCGGATTGGCCGCCATATTTGAAATGAAAATATCACTAAATAGAGGTCTGCGCATGTCTCAACATTTCGACTGCAGAGTCATAGAAAAAACAAATCCATGAAAATATGTCCGCAATCAACTTTCATGGTATTTAGTTTTGGGGGAGGGTCAAACTCAAGTTAGTTTTTGATCTGACATCCAACTTTTGAGGCCTCCCCTTAGTTATAGTAAGTATATAATAATTATAACCTTGCTTTAAAATCAAAATAATGTTTTTTGCTACTCACTGCCTCAGAGTCATCTATAAATGGATCTGCAACATCGTAACCCTCTCCTAAATTCACCAAGTCACCAGGGTTCTCCTGACGTCGTTTCTTTTTTGTTGGACCACCCTAAAATAGAGAGGGGTATACTGATTCGACTGGTCTTTTTATTTTTCAGAAATAATGAAGTTAAATTTTTCTGTCCACTATGGTTAATTTTTTACTATGGAATATCAGGTTCAAACATAAATTGAAATACAGATCCCCATAACAGAGTGGACATAACATTATTCTAACAATTATGTGTTATACTTTCTATATGTGTAAGTCTATGATTGAGTAAGTTTCAAAAATTCTCTTAAGGTGAACTCACATATTTTTGTTCAAACGATTTGGCTAATGCTTCCAGTTTCCCATGGTCTTCGTCAATGAAACAATCAAGGGGGTCACCAAAAGGATCAAATGATTTATTTAACTTGTCTTTGTCTTTTGGGTCAACCTTGTCATTTTTCTGAGTTTCCCGAACAGGTCCCTGAAAAGCAAAGAAAACTGATATAGACTTTTACATATTTTAGGATTTGTAATTCCTGTTTCCTGGATTGGGATCTCCATAGAACATATTTCCTAATAAGGTCCAGGGCTCATGCTAGGCTCTTAGACTGTGGTGCAGCACCGCAGTCTTTTTAGCTCCTACCACAACCTATTGGCTAATCATGATTGTTTCCACAGTCTAAACTTGACTGAATACACAATAGCAGGGGAGGGGGTAGCGTTGTTATTACGCAAACTGTTGATACTTGGGAACGATCCCCTGATATCATCTCATGGAACAAATGATGTTTGAAATAAGAATACCAATAATTATAAGGAAATAAAGGAAATGTGATCTATTCATAAAACTGATAGCTATAACTTTGGTAAAAATGGTTATGAATTATACGTGCAATTTTTTAGTATTGTACTCCCAGTTAATTTCGTGAGTTTTAATTTTGCGGCTTTTAAATTTCGCGGTTTTCACAAGTTCAAATTTCATTTATATTCTCTGAATCCTCAAGGTTTGTTAAGCAAGTTACCATTAGAACAGTAGTTACACCTAACCCAGTGTAATATTTTGATAAGATTTATAATTAAAAGTTCTTGGAGAACGGTATGTTCCACCCCAACCTCTATTACATTGTCATCTTTTGGTTAAATTGATTTAATAAGCCAGTATAAAGAGACATTTTTGCTAGTATTCCTTTATGCCCTAAAACACTGAATGAATGTTTTTAACAAAATCAAACGCATTGGAGTCCTATATAATTACAAATCCCCAGGGATTTAATTTGTGAATTTCGATGCAATGTCTTTGATTGTGTTAATCAAAAATGTAAAGTTATGATAATTATCATATTGTACCAAGATGTTGGTGATGTAGTTAAACTAGGCTCAAAAGTTACTAGAAAGTTGTCCCTTTTACAGTGTAACCTGGAACCTTTCAATTGAACAGGTCGAATAAGAAAGGAATATTCAATACAATATTTCAAACGAGTCCATGATATGTTTCAAGTAGTGAAGTCATTAAGGATTCAATATGCCAAAATTGGGGGAAATGTTGAAATTCTCCAAATAATAATAATAAATATGGTAATCATGATTATAGAAAATTAAATATTATTGTAAAAATCCTTATTTTTCAGAAGAAAAGTCCCAAATTTTCTAAAATTGAAACAGTTTTTTGTTAAGCTTGCTCGATCTCTAGATCTGATTCTTTCTTTAAAAGATTTAAATTATTACTTTTATAACTTGGAGGTACACAAAATCATTAATGCATCATTGATATTTCAGTCTAGATAGTCACTTTGGTATACAGAATAAAAAAATATTCATAATATATTTGTTTTATTGAAAAAATATAAATAACAGCCTATTTTCTATGCTTTAAGTCATATAGAAATTACTCTTTCATTTTCACGAACTCATGTGTATATTTCAGACAAACAGTATAGCAGCCTTAACAACTTACTGAAAATTTCATTCAAAAATATTAAATAGTTTTTGAGATAGAGCACTTTAAAGTTTTTAAGCCAATTTGAATTTCCCTCCATTATTTCCAATAATCAATAGATAATTAATTAGGAAAAGATTACACTTAAATCTGTTGTCTATTACATTTATGCATAGGCGTAACTTAATAGCCAGTCTAAATAAGCAGCTAGCATAAAACCACAATGTAAACCTACATACAAATATCTGCACAGCTGCTTATCACTTTATATGTGCGCTTGAACTGAGTGTAGCAGACGTCAAGTATTGCATTATGGGAAATATTCCAATAAATAATCAATAGTTATCTATTCGGATTGATTGACAAATAATCTTCATTTTTTTAACTGCCAGGAAAATATGTAGCTTATTAGGATAATTACGTTGAAACTGCTAGTTGTAACTGCAGCAGCTACTAGCAGTATTAAGCCAGTTAACACTTAAATCAATACATCTGGCACAGAGTGGATCTATATATATACATGAGTATTTAGTAAAAATAGCCAGATGTACATGGCACATGTAATAAAAAAGCATCATTAATTGATACTTTGGAAATTAGCACTTTAAAAATTAACCAGTATCATTTAGGAGATGGCAAATTCAGAATAACAAAATTCAGTTTATTTGCATTACAAACCTCAACAAAGGAAGGTGATACAGAATTGAAGACCTATCCCTGAAGGGCAATATTAATATCACCCCTGGATTTTATAGACCATGGCCTTGACACGATTTACATATTTTCGTATGTTTTTCACAAATTACTTGCAAATCTTTTTGAAAAATATACCAAAACATTGCATATGCAGTAGAACTAGCACCTTACTTTTCCAGAATTTGTAGTGAATAAAATAAGAATTGCGAGCGAACGTGCAGAAAGACAAATGCATCATATGGCTTTGTGTACTAATTCCCTAAATGACCCCAAAATAAAAATAACAAATAAAATGTTCAGAAACATCATGTGATTACCCAGTAAAACAATGGATTCTGGTATTTTTGAAGAGAGTGATAAAGTTGTAAAAATAAATATACAGCCTCATTGATTGAGGGGGGGGGTGTAAGTTGCATGATATTCTATGACCATTGTGTATTTACTCTGAGGAAAATACACAAAATGGCGACCAGACATTTCATCTCATTTAGAGTCGTTTTATGAACAGTATAACATAGGAAAACCGCCATATGCTTGATTTTACTAGGATATTCTCTAAATATTGTATGATTTCTGTACACAGTTTTACGAAAAATGACGCGAGTTGGTGTCCTCATACAATCACCGTTTCAAAGTTGAATAAACCTAGTTTTCTGTGTTTCTTTTGATGATCGCACAAGATAAATGATTGTTACATAAAATGGGGAAGATTTTAACCACTTACCAAAGCTTTTCGAACAAGATCGACGTACGAGAACTCAGGACATGTTTTCTCTGTTGTTTCGCCAAGTGTCAGGCTGAACCGAAGTGTAGGTTTGGTTTTCTTCGTCTTCTTGGGCTTCTCAGTCGGATCGGCGGGCATCAACTCAACCCTCCTCTCTTCGGACATACTGGCCGATGTCGATCCAAGTCAAATAATCCGTTCTTCTTCTATATTTCATTGATTACCTTTTAAAAAGTTCACATTTCTAGCGCCATTTTGTTTGCAATTTTGACCTTTTGCGCACGCGCAATCGATTAACCCTTGACAGGTCAAGGACGAAAATCATAAACACGGAAGTAGAACTGAATTATACGTATTGTATTTAGTGCAGTCAGAATGTGGGTTTCGGCGTGCGTTCAGAGGGATTTTATGAGACATAATTTTTCATGTTACTACTATGATTATACATATTTTTATGGATTATTAGATCTTAGTTTTTCAGCTTTTAGATTTTGTGGCCATTTAACCCCCCATGGGCTAAAATTTGGACCCCTACTATAAAATTGGGAAAGAACTCAAAAAATACTCAGTGGAATGTTTCCAAATTACTAAGTTATATTGGTATAGACTAATTGAATATATGATAAAAATTTCATGTCACATGCTGAAGTGGTTGCCATGGAAATGGATAAAACATGCCCTTCGGGTGTCAATTTTCAGGCCAATTTTTCAGGACTGACAGAGTCATTTCATGCATATTTTGTCCCCAATATGTTGGGAAGGGTTAAAATGTAAATAGAAAACTCCTATAATATATTAGCTACAATTGTATGTAAAGATCAGTCCACAAAACCTCAGATTTTGGCCTTTTATTGGTCCATGACTTATACAGGGGTCTATTTCATAGCCTCGAGCTCCCACATTGGATGGATGCTATAAATTTTGAAATAAGGGTGATACAGGTCTCATTTTTTCAGATCTTCATAAATGGTTGGTTTTAAGTATTTTAATATAAGTTTGGAGCTGGTATATGATTGGTTGCCATGGAAACCAGGGTTTTAAGGAAATCCTGACCCCGACATTGAATGGATGTTATAACTTTTGAAATAAGGGAGATTCATGTCTCATTTTTTTCAGATTTTTCACAATGATGGATTTAAAGTATTGATTTAGACTTTGGGAGCTGAAATTTGATTGGTTACCATGGAAACCAGGGTTTTGTTGAAATTCAGACCTCCACAATTGATGAACACTATAACTCTTAAATACAGCCAGATAAGATATAATCTTTTCGGATGTAAGATAATAATAATATGTGTGTATTGTATTAGACTTTGGAAGCTAGGATTTATTTGTCTGCCATGGTAACCATGTTTCATTGTCATGGTAACTGCTGTTTTCGTTTTCAGATTCACCTTTATTCTAAAATACCAAGTTGCTCAAAGTTACCATTTTATTCTTAATTTTGGGATTTTTTTCTATTTTATATGATATACATGCTCATGACTCAATAATACTAGAGATGCAAACATTGTTTGGCTCATGAAATATCAAATACGAGTAAACAATACATGTATGTCTGACAATATTGCCTTATTCCATAGGACTAGTTCTTACAAAAGCTCTGAATCCTAATTTGTTCATTTGTACTCATCATTACTGTTTTCATTTAGCACAATTTCCTCTTATCATCAATTTCTGTAGGAATGAAGGATTGTTTTGACCATTCTGGAGATAAGGATCCTTAGGGGATATAGTCCATTCATGCAGTATTGGACTTGGTAGAATGGGTTAAGGCTGGTCCCTGTGGGTTCACTGTATATAAAATGTGGTTGGGATCCTTGGCTGAACCCTCAAATATCAATATGTTCCCATCCAATCTGTCAAATTTGAATGTGTTCCGATATCAACCAAAATAATGCCCAAAAGCCATACCAAATGCCCAAATATAGGACCAGTGCCATACCAAATATCCAGATATGAAAACATGGCCATTCAAAATTTCTAATGCCTCGAGAAGAAGGCAGATCATTGAGGAAAACAATCAAAAACAACCTCACATTAAGAATATACTAGATCAATGCCATACATGTAAAACAAGTGAGGGGCAACATATTTTTCACAACCATTCCCAAATCCGACCATTGCCATACCTCTCAAGTCATAATTTAGAGAGCATTCTCATACCAGATCCTAAAATTTGGGTCCATTGCCATATCAAATGTCAAAAGTACCCCACCTGAGCTGAGGATCCCCTCAAGGTTTATATACAGTGAACTCGATGGGAGACGAGGGGGGGGGATGTTTCCACTTCCAAATATAAGTTTTATCATCCATCCTCTTCAAATGTTATAATGAGCAATCATTACAAGGTGGAAGAGTTCATCATTTAATTCATTGCATTATATTAGTTGCAATGAAAGCAGTGAAGGACCAGTCTTGAAAGATGGGAAGAGTTGAAATGTCAAAACCTCCATAAGTGAGGGCAGCACTGTTCTGCTTTGGAGAATATCTTATGTGAAACAGCTCATATCGTTATCTATTGATGTAAGTTACAAACATATTTTTGTAATTCTGCTGTACTTTTACTGGTGAACAATTCAACTTTGGATTTTTTGTGTCAGAAATTTCTATATTGATTCCTATTATGAAGAAAACAACCTTAAGAACCTCAAATGTGAACTATGTCCCATTAGATGTCAGAAGCTCAACCCAACCCCTGTAGCTGCAAACCTAGGACTAAGTCCTGTGTGAAGCCATATTAGCCTTCAATGCGTTTACTGGATCAGAACAAAGGAAAAGTAAATCAACTGAAACGGAAGACAAACAATTCTTAAAGTTGTTTTCTTCTATAGGAAACAATATAGGAATTCCCGCTACCATAAAATCGAAAGTTGAATTGTTCACCTGCAAAAATACAGCAGAAATAGAAAAATAACTGCCACTAATAGATTACAAGATGAGCTGTTTCCCATGAGATACAGAACAAAACAGAACAGTGCTGCCCTCACTTATGAAGGTGTTGACATTTTCTTTCACATTTGAAGAGGGTAAATTATCAAACCTATGTATGGACACATTCCCACCAGCCTAAACCCAGCTCTACCATTATGCCCAACACTGCATGAATGAACTGTGAATTCCCTGACAAATCTTTAACACAAGAATGGTCAAAAGAATCCTTCTTTCCAATAGAAATTGTTGATATTTTTAATTAAGAGGTAATTGTGGAAGATGAAAACGATAATGATGAGTAAAAACAAGTTGGGAGTCAGAATATGTGTGAGAACTAGTAGAATGGAATGAGGCTATACTGTCAGACATACAGGATAAATTGCTGAATTTAAGAGCAAAATGATAATTTTGAGCGTTTTGGTATAACATGTTGTGAATTGACCATTCTCAAATGAAGGTAAAAATGAAATAAAAAATTAAGGGTACCATGACGACGAAACATGGTTACCATGGCAATCAAGTAAATGCTAAGCTACAAAGTCTAATTCAATACACAAACCTAATTAATTTTTAAGACCTGAAATGATGATATCTGTATCTGCTTAAATTCAAACGTTAAGCATTTATCAATTGAGGAGGTCCAAATTTCAATAAAAACTAGTTACCATGGTAACCAATCAAATTTCAGCTCCCAAAGTCTAATTTAGTATTAATAATCAATCATTGTCTAAGATCTGAAATAATGAGACATGTATCTCCCTTATTTCAAAAGTTATAGCATCCATCCGATGTTGGGGCCAGAATTTCCCTAAAACCCTGGTTACCATGGCAACCAATCACATGTCAGCTCTCAAAGTATATTAAAATACTTAAAACTAATCATTTATGAAGATCTGAAAAAATGAGACCTGTATCTCCATTATTTCAAAAGTTATAGCATCCATCCAATGTGGGAGCTCGAGTCTATGAAATAGACCCCTGTATAAGTCATGGACCAATACAAGGCCAAAATCTGAGGTTTTGTGGACTGATCTTTACATACAATTGTTGCTAATATATTATAGAAGTTTTCTATTTACATTTTAACCCTTCCTAACACATTGGGGACAAAATATGCATGAAATGACTCTGTCAGTCCTGAAAAATTGGCCTGAAAATTGACACCCGAAGGGCATGTTTTATCCATTTCCATGGCAACCACTTAACCATGTGACATGAAATTTGTATCATATATTCAATTAGCCTCTACCAATATAACAATGTAATTTGGAAACATTCCACTGAGTATTTTTTGAGTTCTTGCCCAATTTTATAGTAGGGGTCCAAATTTTAGCCCATGGGGGGTTAAATGGCCACAAAATCTAAAAGCTGATAAACTAAGATCTAATAATACATAAAAATATGTATAATCATAGTAATAACATGAAAAATTATGTCTCATAAAATCCCTCTGAACGCACGCCGAAACCCACATTCTGACTGCACTAATTTATTTCCACCAGTGGAGAGTCACAGAGTCAAGTTTATATATTTATATGATTTACACACAATATATATTCATATAATTGAAGAGTTGAATAATAAACGATCAGTGGAGTATTCTGATTTTGTGTGTATTTTGCCAAGTACTGTTACCAAATATTGATGATATCGGAAGATCTGATAAGAGCTGTAAATAGACAGTAGGTTACAACTGTAACCAAAATAAGTGTAGATATTGCAGGGGGAGGGTTGGGGTGGTGATGGGGGTCTTTGGGGTGGATTTTGTGGGCTGATTGGGTATGTTTCCCATGCTAAACAATCTTTCATCCATACTAAGCGATTTAGCACAGGCCCAGGAAGATTTAAATCCCCCTCCCCCAGTCTCTTTATTGCAAATGTAAAAAAAAATTCTACCTAATACATAGTGAGTGGGAGGGGGATGAACTCTTGTTCCCGTGTTTGTGCGATTTAGGCTAAGTGGGCAGCTGGGTAAATAACACCCAAAATCAAACCAAAATGTCAAAATGGTTGACAAAATTAGCACCAAATGTCTGGGAAACTTTCAAAAACAACCTCAAATTAGGTTTATGTGTAACTATTGGTTCATGCCATTATGTGTTATGCCGTGGTAACACTTGGACCCATTTTACGGATCTGGTATGAGAATGCCGCCCCAAAATTTATGGCACGAGGTATGGCAGAGGTCAGATTTTTCCACTTTCTGAAATGAAAATGATGATCGTGGAAAATATGTTACTTCACACTTGTGGTATGGTATTCTGTCTAGTAGTTACATATATCCTTAATTTGAGTGTTTTGGATAGTTTTCCTTAGATCTGTTCTTCTCAGGGCCTTCTTCCGTTTGAATATTTTTCTACTTTGGACATTTATGACATTTGTCCTATATTTAGATATTTAGTATGGCATTTGACTTTATATCTGGACATTTGGTATGGCGGCCCTATATTTAGCCAGTTGGTACCGGGCTTTTGGATGAATTTTGGTTGGTATGTATTGTATTGTATTGTATTGTGATATTCTTTATTTCCTCCATTAAATGAAGATTACAATTTAACATTTTAACTAAACTCAAAATTAAGGAAAACTAAAATAATAATACATTATTTACATTGGTTGATATCTGAGGGTTCAGCCCAGACTCCAGCCAAAAGTTATATTCAGTGAACCCCCCGGGATCTGCCGTAGCTTCCCAAAATCGAGACCCATGCAGCTTAAAAACGAGTAAGTCATACTTCCCTCTTATATTCTGTAGCCTAGAGAATGGATGACTTACACTTACTCCCCGTGCATAAAATATAAGAATGAGCTGTACGATAGATTAAGAGAAGCTACGGCCGCCGTTGAGCAAATGTGAGGCTTTTACCGTATCTTCCATACGCATTATGTTCCCAGAAAGTGGGACAATCCGACCATTTCCGACCTCAGAAGTCGTATATGTGGCATTGTCATACCAGAACCCCCCCCCCCCCCGGGATGCGCCAAGGATCTCAGTCAATGTTTATATGCAGTGAAGCTTCCTTAAAAAGAGGGAGCCAAAATAAGGGGGAGTAGACGGGGAGGGGCAAAGTATATATTTGCTCACCTGGAAAATGAATAGAGGGAAGGCAAATCTCAAAAATTTGAAGCTACTAGCTGTGATCTCCTCGAAATCCAGAAAAACGTTTTTTCCTTTCCAATGCTAATAAATTCAATCCTCTGCCAGAATGGCAACATTGCATTTATGCAGAAATTCCTTAAACTTCCCTTATACATGATCTTGCATCAAACCTAACCGCCCTCAATAAAGCAATTCAATAGACTAGATGCGAGTAGAAATGATCTTGATTTGCGTCATTAAATATTCAAAATTCAGTCAACGTGATGTCATATTTGAAATCTACATGTAAAAATACATCTAAAAATATGGTTTCGAAAATTATTGATCAACTTTGAAAATGTAATCTTTTTTGGAAAATGTGACTTCTAGTTCGGGTTGATTCCCCATAGACCCCATATTAAACTAATCACAAAAAGTGAAATATCTTTTCTTGTATTGGACATAGAACATTTTATTTTACTGGACATACTTGAATTTGCATAACTATTCGATACATAAGGGCTATATGAAAATTGAACCACTAAAACAGATGTAATTTAATGTAAAGGGAACGTTCTACTATACCCGCCATGTTATCTGACCCGAGCGAGCCACCTGGTGGTGAAACTGGTAACTACCTACTCGCATTTGCGTTATTAGTCTTGCAACGAGTCCTCATTAGGAGGCCATCGACGGCCGTGTATTGTAATTCATCGTTTTTATGGCTAACTGAATAGCGTGAAAGAAAAGGGAATGAGTACATGTCCTTAGAAATTAAAGAGAGAATCAGATATAGCGAGCAGGCTAAACAAAAAATTGTTTCAGTTTTAGAATATTTTTGGCTCATGTCATTCCTTGTCATGTCTATTTTCTAAAAATCACAAAAGTGCATACTTTATTCCAGGAAAATTTAAGATTTTTACAATAATGTACTATTTTTTCTATAAGAATGGTTACCATTCTTATTATTTGGGAGAATTTAAACATTTTTGACCCATTTTTGCAATTTGAATCATTAATAACTTCACCAATTTATAACATATTGTGAATCTTTTCGGAGATATTGTATTTGATAGTGTAAGGAATAGATTGGTAGGTCAATTATACATGTTGCTTGTAATTTTGTCACCCCCTATAGATCAGATTCTGCCTTTAATAAAAAAAGTCAAATGGAATGAAGGTAAACCTCTTTTCACCAAATCCTACGCCAGTGGTCTTAATTAATATTCTTCCCATTTTAACTCCAGTTTCATCGCTGTTATCATGGACTCGAAGTCCACAGACAGAAGAGAAAATACTGTACTGATAACAGTGTGTTGCCTTGCATCAAGCTTTTTAACTTCTTAATTTCTTCATAATACTAATTAACGGGCAGGGGAGGGGGCGTTTCAAAAGTGGAAGAGGTACAGTGAAAACTAAAGAATGCGAGATTTCTATTTTGTTTCGTCTTGCCTCAATAATGTCACTGTGTCTGGGGGGGGGGTCTAGGGGGTCTTGAATCAAGACTTCATTTAGTACTGGGCATGTTCCAGCTACCCAGACTGGTTACTTGAGTTCAGGAGCTTGGATCAATACTTTAATCAAAATACAAAACTAAATACTCAAAACATTATTCAATATGCAATATATATTCAAAAAGTGTATCATAGATAGTCCTGCTATCAATAGATATACTTAATAACAACATTAAACACATCTAGCTAAGTATTATGTTAATAATATTGAAATCTGTACATTTATTATATTTTTAATTTCCTATGTTACAGTATGAGCATTACATTTTAAGGCATCGAGTATTTGCAGTATATTTGAGCTAAGCTTGTATAAATTTGCTAATGCAAATAACGCCAGTCGGCTACCGGATTAACCTAGGCCTTCTATTTTGTGGGTACCCCATTTAAATATAAAAGGTAACTGCCACTATTTCATTCATATCTAAATGAGTTTGTCATAAAATAGTAGTTTAATCCGGTAGCCGACAGGCGTTAGTTGCATTTGCGAATACAAGCTAAGTCATATTTATGTGACATGTCCGTTTTACTGCAGTTTCCTTAGAATTCAATGAATAAAGCATTACAGTAAAACCTGTATATATCGAAAAATTGTTTGCAGAGAAAAAACATTCGGTTTTGATAGAGAGGGCAATTTATACAGAAGTCAGTAGAGAATGTACGTGCGGAGGAATAGTGTCCACTAGAGGCAGGTGTTCACTAGAGAGAGGTTTTCACTAAGTCAGGTTTTACTGTATTACAATATATTTTTGTAGGACCAAATTCAAGTATCAGCTACAAGTCTCTTTTAATTCAATTCCTATTTTAAACTCTTTGTAAACCAACTCCTCGATCCAAAGCACACCCCCAATGTCTAGTTTATACCCAAGAGAGCGTCTTTGATTGCGTTCATGAGCGGGAAGCGCCCGGTATGTAAGCTGCAAACATTAGAGAAATCATCTAGCGCAAGTGCCCACACCATGGCTCCACCAAATCCACTTCGTTTTAACCATTCCACCTGCAAAAACAATTTTCTGAAAGTATACTTTTTTTCAAAATGGGTTCATCTCCAAAGTTATACAAGTCAGTCATTTTAGGTTTGAAGAAAATTATCATATGTTTCTGTATGGAACTTTGTTGGTATACACATACATGATGCATTATCGAATTCATTTCATGCGACTATACCTTTATCCTTAGACTCCTTGTGTTATCGTATCCCACCCACCTACTCGAGGGGATATGCACAGAGAAGGGAACTTGCTGGAAGGGATCCCAGTATTCAATAGCTCCATCTTCTAAGAGACTACAAATCTGGAAATTCAATTCCAATCTTTACAATAGGGGAAGTTACTATATTCTAGTATCAAACAAGGCACTAACATTCAAATTGTCACTACCTGTCATCTATCATCGAACGCGAACCACTGAACAGAGTGAACACCACTCACAAAAAAAACTTGGAGACTTTAACAATATGTCACCGTTTTTGAGACGGAGATGTGCTTAGGTCGACACTGGATTGAAAGCAACCTCAAAATAACTTAGGCTACCTCATGATATGCTATGTATCCATCCTCTCTTGTTCCAGGGGCGGATGCTCCACGTCCATTTGAACACGCGCCAACCGCATGATTTTCTGTAAACGTCAGATTCATCGTTCTGCCAAATGTGGGCATTCCTACTATCAACTTCCGGGGATCGGCGCCATTGGCAACCCAGTAGTTCACAGAAAAATTCTGCAATTTTACATATATTTATCGTATTACGAACGCAGATCCCAAGACATCACTTAAATCTGTTTCGTGTGAGGAATATGATCAGAGTCGATGTCTAGAGCAGGGGCGTAGCGAGGATCCAAAATTTGGCAAATGTTCGGAGAAAGTCAATATAATTTAGTTTTTTGAGCATTGCGTTACAGAATTGACTTTCCATACAAAATGAAGGTCATGCGACCGATGCCAGTATGACTCACTTTTGATTGCAAGAAAATCCCCAAATGTAAGAATTCATGAATGTTAAGTTTTTTACTTACAACGTTATTGTCTTTAGAAGCGTCTCCTATAACAGGGTTTGCATATAGCGGACTATGATGTCCCGTGTATTTGTAGCCAGTCGGTTGCATGTCATACAACATCAAGAATATATCGTCTAAGTACCTAAATTGCATATTACTAGTATAGTAATAAAAAGGGCATGTATGTTTAAGATATTTAAGTTAAATCAAGAGTGGTAAAGAATATTGAACTATTTGACATTAGAACACTTTTTAACTACTAGGTTCGATGAATAAGGAGTCATAAAAGATACGAGGGGTGATTCAAAAGTAGTGGACAAAAGTGTAGCTAGAGTAGGCTAAATAACAAGCGTGGAGATTTATATTACCATTGCTCATCCAATTATATTTAGTTGCATTTCAATCTCCTCGTTTTACTACCAAGCGCGGTTGAGCATTTTCTGATAAATATAATCTTTTCCCACTACTTTTGAACCACCACTCGTATGCTGGTTCGCTTACTCTGAAATTCTCTCTATTTCGTACGATGTATCCGCTGCATATTTCCCAGCCCCAACAGCGGCGCTGACAATGAGACGCGAACGCCCTGTTCTAGTTGCCTCATCCTCGAAGCCTTGTCTAAGTTCCTACACAGTTCAAACAGTATGTATACAGTTCTAGAGAAAATACCTAATTTTTGAATGAATATTTCGACCTCTTTTAATACAGAACGGATTGGTAGAGGAACGTTATATATTAAAGAAAGGAAAGTGCTGTTGATTTCAGCTTAGTCTCATTTGCTCTACAGGGGGCCGTACGGCGACCGTAGCTTCACAAAATCGATACAAAATTTACATCGTACTGTTGTTTTCCCATGCTATATATTTTCGCTCGATTTTGGGAAGCTACGGTCACCGTTCGGCTGCTATAGATAATGTGACTGAGGCATTAACTAAGGGAGATAGGGCGTTTAAGTTGTGAATAAGATAGACGTCCTTGATTAAAGCAAGAACGATGGTAAGAAGCACGAAAGAAAAATGGTCGTGGGGAGGGGAAAAGAATAATGGTGGAGCAGGAGGAAAAGATAAAGGGGTATGGAGAAAGTTTTTTGTGTGAGAGATGTAGTACAAAAAGGACTAATTTAAAAGAAATGAGAAATATTTATTATTTATTCCATAATAACATGTTTTCCCTGGGAAAATAACAGGGAATAAAAGTGTTATTTGAAAAATCCCGTATCAGATCCCGTATCAGCCAAAATCCCGTATCAGATCCCGTATTGGATCCCGTATCAGCAAAAATCCCGTATCAGATCCCGTATCAGAAATATTCCCGGTAATTTCTCTTGAGTTTTACGCTTCTCGTCTAGCACATCTCTACAGGAAGTAGTTTTTGAAGTCATTAATAGCTTTTGTATATTTTTTGTAGTTATTCATGATATTGTGTTTATTTTGCCATATTATGAGCCATTTAATTGTTATAAATTATTTATATTTTTAAGTAAAACTTGATAATAAAAGTTGAAAATGTTATATGATAAATTGTATAATTTTATGTCACAATCATTGGATGATGACATACAAAAATTGAAAAAAAATATTATGAAATAAATAGGTTATTGATGGTCGTGATGGAATATGGATTTATTCCTTGAGAAAATATGATATTGGCCTCAGAAAATATCATATTGACACTCGGGCTATCGCCCTCGGTCAATATGATATTTTCCTTGGCCAATATCATATTTTCCCTCGGAATAAAATCCATATTCCATCCTTCCCATTAAATAACCTCTATATATACATTATTTCCTTTATGTCATTTAATTACATTTACAAGTACGAAAATCAAAAGGTAGATCATTACCCTACAGAGCGTAGTAAATCGTTGTTTATCTTCAGGGGGACTACCACGTTGTGCAGGGTACTCCCAGTCAAGATCCAGTCCATCAAACCCATGGAGTCTGAGAAAATCTAAAGGAAAAATATTTTTTTGAATTTTGGAAACTTATTTTATCATTAACCAGCATGTTTCGCTGAAAAAGATCATGATGAAATGCTGGAATAGGCCGAATGTTTTAAGGTTCACTCACCAATAGTCGTTGTGACAAATTCTTGTATATTTTCAGGAGTCGAAACCATGTCAGAAAAACGCTCCGTCCCGAAGTTCCAACCGCCAACTGCCAAGAGAGTTTTGAGATTGGTGTTGTTAGCTTTCAGAGCATTAAAACGTCTATACCTATGGTAATTATAATGTTTGATGCAACATGGATTTTAAAGATGCGACACGACTCAGATACCATGCATAAAATAGGGTATTACAAATGGTGTGAGATTTTAGTATCATGTTTGGTCTCAAGTGTTAGAATATGCCTTCCTAATAATATAACCCCGACACCGTTTGGTACACCGAGGAGGCATGGTAAATTATATAATTGATGATGCCAAAGCTAGGTAGATAGATATAGCAATCTGTTCAAGAAAAAATAGAATAACTAATGACATTACCAATCTAGTCAATATGTCATAGCTTCCTGGATCTACCAAAATATAACAGGGTTCACGATTGGATATTGCTATTTTATGATCAACCCATTTAAATATGAATAGTACTGCTACAATTTATACTAATACGGTAGATAATCGTCTACAGATACATTTGTTCTTGGAGATACCCCATTCTCCATTCTGTGATACTCTAACAGGCACTGACTGCATATATTCCGATCTTACATGTCGATATCATTCCATTCAAATGTTGATAATTGGTTTCCAGTCATGTTGGCGAAGGCGTAGATGAGATGCGTACACAGGAAGGGATCAATGTCTTCGGGAAAGAACCTACATGTACACGAGGAAAGATGATAAGACATATTAATGGTAGAACAATTTTTGTGTCTAAGCAAGCATTCGCGGATTCAACTGCCGACTGTCGACTGACGATTTGATTGCAATTTTGTGGCCAACGGTTTAAATATGGATATGATTAGGAGCAGGTTCTATTCATGTTAAAATCAGTTGACCATAAAAATAGCAATCAAATCGTTATCCGACGTTATCTCAGTTGATAACAAGTACAAACGTCTGATGTACATACTTGTATGTATTCCATACCTGATGAGGTTTCAGGGACATATCAACCGGGAATATATTCCATATCCGGGCAAATATTTTTCGTATGTCCCGCTCCACCGGAGCTCCGGGACATATAAATCGTATGTCCCGCTCAAAAAAAATTTTTGAAAAAAATAAATAAATTGGGGGAAAAAATTTGAAAATGAAAATTTGAAAAAAAAATGTGGAAAGAAATTATGTAAGAAAATTTTGAAAAAAATTCTAAAAAAAAAATTATGGATTAAAATGTGAAAAAAGTTTGAAAAATAATGTGAAAAAAAAAATTGGAAATTTTCTTTTTATTTTTGAAAAAAGTTGAAAACAAATTTGGAAGAAAATTTGGAAGAAAATTTGAAAGTATATATTTTGCAAGTAAACACACCAGAGAATATGGGATACATGCTTACTATTTCAAACCTAATCAGGTATGGAATACAACAGTTATGCACGGTCGGTTTGGATACAGGAAATATCCTTTGGGATATACAATATATCTTCCCTTGGTCCCTTCGGTCCCTCGGGAAGATATATTGTATATCCCTCGGGATATTCCCTGTATCCAAAACCTCCCAGTGCATAACCCCTATATACCTTTTTAGACTTTTGTCTATGTACCAGATGTACACGAACACAAAAAAGGCTTCTTTACTCCAGCATTCCTGGAAATTACCCGATTTTAAATATAGATAATATACATATATACATACATATAATAGATATTTAACAATACAGGGTGTACCAAAATGGCATGCAACCCACGATTAAAATGATATGCATTGTGAGGTGGGTAACACTTTTGGTATACCCTGTATATATTTAATGGTCATACGTACTTGTAACCATCTGGTCGATATTGTGCCCAATTGGTATAGTAACAGGCCATTATATATTTTCGATCTGAAAAAAAGATGCTTTGGTCACATCATGAAAACTATATTTACAATTTGGAATTTTAAGCGGTTTGTTGAAATTTGTTCAATAACAAAGAACAAAAATGCGTAATATTAAAAAAGAACAACTTAAAAACATGAATAGCACTTGATTAAATATCAATCTGAAATCAGTTCATGATAACGTTCATGTTTTGCAAATTTCAAAATGAGGAAAATATAAGACAAATTAAGGAAAGATTGACAGTGATGACTGTAATAAACTTTACAGTCAATTTACATTTTATTTCCTTCATTTTAATTTTTCAAACCTACAAAACGGGCAATATCGTTACATATTTTCCGCTCTTAGACTGATGGCATAACATATATACATGTATAACACTATTTTTGCCCAGTTGTCCTCTTTTACGGTGTGTAAATACCAGGTATTCCAGTTGTTATTTCCCAAGGGACTTCAGTAGTTCCATTGCTAGGATTTTCCGTCACACCAATCTGTCCACCCTGCTGGCTGGATATGTGTACCCCTACTCCAATCGATATACCAAGGATAACGCATATTCCCACTGCTATCCCTATAGCTATAAATTTCCGTTTTCCACTCAGTAATTCGGATAGAGTCATTCTATTTTACTAGTATATTTTCCCTGTTTGGGGTGTTATGTTATCTTTCTTTGGAGATATGGCATATGTTTTACGTGAGGTATTATCTTTTCCCGTTTTGGAAAATTTATATTGTGTTCCTTTTGAGTGCTATGTCATGTGCTTTACTTCATTCAGTAGTAAAACTGCTCCGCATTGAATGTTATATAGTGCTCCTCTTGAGTAATGGTGTCAGGTTTATTCACAATTTTAAACGTGTTTTGCCCTTTGGAGAAGTAATATTGTATTCCTTTTGAGTTGTGCCGTATGTTTATTCAGATTCACGAATTGTATTTACGTTATAAAATCTATAATACACCATGATGGCATACGTTAACAATGTCCATTCTCAAGTACCGTCCACTTTGCTACTGGTAGTATCAAGTATTGTGATATCGCTCTTGAATATGTTCTACACATATATTTTGTAGAAGATGAAAATTCTTTACAACAATGCTATCTTCGTTATAAGACATTTGAGATCTGATTAATTAATGAATCTATGAAGCACACTTTGTAATAAGACGTCGACACGTCTCTTGGGATACTCTTTCGATGAGATGCAAGGTGTGTCTATGCAATAGCCAATAAGAGTATGCAGTCGAAAAAGCAGTTCCGTGTTTCCTGCGCAAAAGTAGCAAAAACTTCTTTCACATTAGAGCCCAGATGAAGAATTAATTGAAACATTCATTTGAGATTATTATGTTCAAAACTGTTAAATCTTACTAAATAAGCAGAGTGTAGGGTGACCAACATATACAGTTCAGGGTGTCTATTATAAAATACAGAATATATTAGACTTCGAGCTGGTGTGTCAAGAGATGTTTTGTTATAAAAACAATAATTGTGAGATAGGAGCTACTTAAAAATGATAACACACATGTTTGTCGATATAAACACTTTTTGACAATAAATTTACTGTTCGCTATTTTGATCTAAGGACCTTTTGACTTTCCCTTTTTATATTTAGATGTATGTATTATGAACTATATATGACATATTTTGGCGATTATCTGTTTTTCGTTTGTTTTATAGTACCACGCACATTTTTTGTTACCGACTTCTATGTGTTTAGAAAAATACCCTACAAGAGTTCATAATTTTGCATACGTTAACTTAAAACAATTTGTGATGCTCAATTTTGTTTGTTTGTAGATTGAAATAATATTGATTCACTCCAAAATATCTATGTTTTACCAAAATATAGTCTCTACGAGGGTTGTTCCAGAAGTAATGCACTATATGCTCTAACTTTATCAATAACTGATATTTTTCCATGAAATATTCAGTAAATGTTCCTTAGAGACATTTTGATTACTCTACAAATTTTCATGTTGACTGATAAAACTATATTTATGTTATAATAAAATCAAGTTGGTGAGTTTGGGTAGGGTGGGGCAAGTTATACAGTCACTTCAAAAGGAACAAAAAATTAAAATATGAAATAATTAATCAACAAATACCATTTTGTGTAGCTATAAGAAGTATGCTCAAAAATACATTTGAAGATACTAAATTGCTATGAGCACATCCTAGATTTAATGGATGTATATTACACAGTGTCCCGTTTCACATTTCTCAAAATATTGCCCTTTGCATGTTATGTACTTTTGATGCCTGTCAGGTTCAACACTCTTGGTAATGTCTGCACTGTGACTTGTGGAGTTTTTGCCTCCTATGTTTGGAGTTCTCATCCAGGGTCAAATCATCTCTTTTAAATCTCTTCTGCCACCTCATAATTGTAGTTCTATCTGGTAAATACTCCTTATATACTTTTTTCGTGGTAGCATAAGTTTTGCGTGGCAAAGTGAAGTATGAAATTAGGCCACCAAACGCAAGGCCTTCTGTTATCAGGTGAGAATTGTAGCCATTTTTGTAATTTCTTGACTGTGACTGTTTTTGAATCCGTGACTATTGAAATGTGGTATTATGACATAACAGTGCTAAATGTCATTATTTGTACTTGGTTAACATCATGCTGTATAAATTTAACAATTTCCCAAACATTTTGATCATTTAAAGGAAAGAAATATTAATAAAATAACACATTACATCTTTTCATAATTAGAAAAATTGGTACCTGCCCCGCCCAACCCTACCCCCATGTCGTTATAGCAACCGTATTAAGACTTAATATAAATGTTTGATGCTGAAACCTCAGGATATAATAGATGAAACTTCAATTGTTAAATACACAAAATTTCAGCTGAATTGAAGAATATTAAAGAAAGTTAGAGCATATAGTGCATTACTTCTGGGACAACCCTCGTATATAGAACATTTAATCATAGTCCAATGAATAATAGGGAGTTAAGCTTGCAAATAAAATCGAACCGCCAACCTATACGTATGACCAATTGCCCAAATATTTTCCGTTCGCGTTAGGTTGCAAGCTTAAACTCCCTATTATATAGTTACGTATACGTGTCATCAAAAGTAATCCTTCTTTTGAGATCTCTGACTAACTCAATAAAATAAATGATAACACAAACCGGATGAGTTTATGATTATTGTTAATTGTGCATTATGTAAAATGTATGTACTTCGTTCTTACCGAGAATTTATATCTTAATCGCTAAAAATGCAAACTTTTTATGTATAGCAAACATTTAAATAACGTCTCACTGGTGGACACGGGGATGTTTAAAGGTGGTCAAAAAATCATTAAAATACGGTTAAACAGGGAAATTAAATTTCGTAAAGTTCCAATTCCTCACTGCTGATAAAACATTAAGTAAAAGCTAATCATGAGATTAGTTATTTTGTGTTGCAGAACAGAGTGGTCTATAATGATAATTCATTCTTAGCTGACAAGGGGGCTGGCCAGAGTTGACCAATCACAAAGACTTAATCCGCATGTGGTTTAGGTCCAACACTTCACTATTTCTGTATTCATTTCTCTCGATTTGGAGAATCTACATGTATCTTATTATACTCTAAAATATCTGATTATCCAATTTACAGTGTATTATAGAAGTTCATATACCTACAGACTTAATTTACTTTGTATATTTAATTTATGTGAAAGAACATTAGTATTTATTATACGTTTCTTTTTCTGATCATTACTTGACATTGAAGACATTGTGTACGTAACGGATGATGGTCAGCCCAAACATTCCATTTCTCTATAAAAAATACCTCCTAAGGTTGAAGGTACAGGGGTTACACTAAAATTTATCATATTAGCAGGGACATTGACTCGTGATGTAGAGGAGATCTTTCATAAGCAACATGTGCATTACGTACCTGGCGGCGACGGTACGGGTGTTGTAGGGACATTGACACAGCAGGCAGTGGTGGATGGTCCGCCCCAGCATTCCCGGTCGAAATCCCAAAAACCTGGGCAGTCGTCATCAAACAAGTCTAGACATTCGCTTTCACCATCTTCCCCGCATTCTAAATTTGAGGTCATATGCCATACCATATCTGGTCCTTTGAATAAATAAATGCCAATCCTCTATTAGAAAATGATTTGGAAATCCATGGATTTTTCAAAGATTTTCTTGAACCCGGTCATCAACAATTTGAAATTGAAATGCAAATCCTACATGAATGGAAAATGAAATGTGCAGGGCATTATCATTGTCATTAGAAATCAGTCATTGGGAAAATCAAGTTCAAATAACTTAAACTTTACTTCACTACTTTTTCCTACTATTATCATTGACTTTATAGGGAAACCATTGACCTCTAACCTTTTTTATATAAAATGTACATGTTTTAAGATCAAATGTTCAAAGTGAATAAACTATGTCGATAGAAGAGTCAATCATTTTGAAAATACAATAATGTTCTTCAGGATAACTTTTCGATTTGTGGAAGTGTGACTCAAATGTATTATCTTCAAAATTAGAAAAAATACCTCCATAATTCTTGATATGCTAGTTGCTGACGGGATCCGAAACGGAGACTAAAATTTTGAAAGTTACGTAATTTGACAGCTTTATTGACAAATGGCTTAATCGCCATTTAAAAATGTCTATGACATTCCAGGATCCAAGTGTCTCGTGTTAAAGGTAGTGAAAATTAAATTTATAAAAATGGATAGATGCCTAGAGATTAACTAGTCTTACCTTCACAAGAAACGGGGTCGAGAAAACACAATAAAACCAATGCCATCCATATCATTTTGAGTGCTATGGTTTTCCTCATGTCTTGATTTTATTTGTGTATAATCGATACAGCGTTTTGATAATATGAATTTGAGGATGAAGATTCAATTAAATTTCATTTAAAGGGAGACTCAGAAAATTGTGGTGATAAAAAACATTAATAATTAACCAACTATTGTGTTCAATATACCAACATTCAAATATAAAAAAGTATCCTTAATTCAATCGCATTACTACTTTCAGCTTTTCATTGCATAATCTGAAAATTCCCCGAGATTATAAACCCAGTGTAAAAGAGTCTTATTTATTTATGCTCCTACTCTCCATTGATTTATATGGTGACCTCTTTGTGCTCTTTCTCTTATACACAATCAGGGCCAGTAAGGACCTTTAAAGGGGGACCATAATCCCCGCGGACCATAATTTGTTTCACACCGGGATTATAAATAAAGATATCAACATTTATATAACTCTATTTTTATATTGAAAGCTCTGTATTATTAATAAATCAAAAAATCAATATGCATATTCCGATTCTCCCTTTAACTTATCTATGAACCTATTTGTGTTAAGGATTGTCCTGACACTTGAAGAGATGTACTTCTTGTCGTAGTGATGTACTCCCTATCTGTCACTTGCAATAACATATGTTTTTCTAAAGACAATGATGTAAAAACAGCTTATGTGCAAGAGAAATCGCAAGTGGTCTTGCCTGTATTAAGAAAAATGTACCAAAATCTCAAGAGAGAGGAGGAATCACCCAGAATTCAAAGACAACCCTGTCTGTCTATAGGTTCATCTTTGAATGGCTATAGATTCGTCTATGAATTATGGGATATTCTCCCTCCAAATGAGATACATACAGCCTATACCCAGTATCAATGTCACTTAGGCCTATTGATGATATCATAGGTCTAATTCACTCACATCGGGTACATGTACACTCCCCTCCAGAAGTTTGGCAACCTTTGCTCCCCCATTGAACTACGTGTTAAAGCCTCTTTTTTTACGTTCGAATTTTTATTTACTTACCCTTCGATGAAATTACATATAATATACATGGAAACGTAACTTGACTTTATTTCCAATCCCTCCAAATTTTCCAATTTTTTTCCCATAGGTCGAAAATTGATGATAAATTTGATGTATTTTTGAAAATCGTCATTCCCATGTAAACCAATGGGAAATGGTGGGTTGGGGCAAATCAGAAATCAGGATATCTGTTCAGTAAACGATTCAGCAAAAAATATTTCTATATAGAAAATTGAATTGTCTAACTTTTTTGTACACTACGTGTTTAGTTTAATTGATGAATACAAAAGTTACAGAGCTTCAAAGTCATTTTTGAAGATAATTTTTCGCCTCCTGTGTTATATCAATGGGGGAGGTTTTTTGAAAAACAATTTTGACTTTAAAGACCCATATCTTTGTAGAACCTGAAGAAATTTATAGATAGATAAAGTTAGCAAATTCAATTTCCAACCTAACTTGTATTTTTGCATGCGCAATGACTTGGATGGATGGATATTCTGTCAATTGACTTGCGGCAAATCTACCATTTCCAATTGGTTAACGATTGGAATGTCAATTTTCAAAAATTCATCAAATTTATCATCAATTTTCGACCTATTGTAATTGAGAAAAAATGAGAAAATTTGGAGGTATTGGAAATAAAATCAAGTCACGTTTCCATCAATATTTTAAGTTTCTCCATCGCAGATTAAGTTAATAAAAATTCAAACGTAAGGAGGCTTTAACAGGTAGTTCAATGGGGGAGCTAAGGTTGCAAAACCTATGGAGGGGAGTGTATGTCCAGAATGCAATGATAAAAAACAACGAAAGCACGAAAGAGCACTTTTTAAATATTTACTTTGGTTATTTATTTGAGATTCGCCTGATAAAATACGAATCGACAAGGTAAACTACATGTATATGATAACAAGTATATTTTGGACTAATATTAATTTTGCACAGAATGATGTTTAAGATACAGTACATTCCTTAAAAATCGATTTACAGATCAATCTTAATCGGCATTTTTGTGCCGATACATGTCTATTGTTGTACCCTAAAAGCCCCAAGCAATATCGGGATAGTATGGTTTTCTTTAAGGTCTCATTTGTGATCAAAACCTCTAATTTAATGATTAAGTTAAAATGAGCAATATCGAGACTGAGGGTACAGTCTTCTTTAACTTTAATGTCTAGTTTGTGATGACAAAATAGAATTGTAAATTGTAAATAGTAACCATAACTACTATTTACATATGTTTTGATTTTGTCTCTATATCGGGTGTACACAGCATGGACACGTGTTTTATTAAGTTCCTAGACCAGTTGGTCTATTTCATACTCGACCATATAGTCCCAATGACCATTCCTGATATCAAAGCTAACAGCGAATGCGTTGAAACACTTGCAACTGAAAAAAGAAAACAATTTGTTGAAGTCGCAGCAAATATTAGCTCAACAGTCTCAAATCTTACTTATTATCCTCTTAGAATCCCAATCTTATTTTCCAGAAAGAGAATAGATATATCTAATCAAATATAGAAAGTATTGGCAAATAAGATATACAAATGTCCAAATTCATGACACTTGAAACAGGGAGTCAACCTTTTTTATTTTTATCACACATTGTAAAGAAATTAAAATATTATCAAAAATAGAGACTTTCTCTGTCATAATATTTCAATGGAATCTGAGAATATTGTATAAAACTTAACAAAATAACATATTGATAAAGATATAAAAAACCGGTTGGTTTATACTGCAGTACATGTACTTACCAGAAGAAACCGACTGTGGGTCCTTTCCATCAGCACCATCGTGTATCATAACTGACGTAGAGAGAAACACGTGACCAGTCGTTGCACTACTACGTCTATATCTGTCGACGCCAGTCAGATGTAAAAAGTCACGTTTACGTCTCTTACTCGGACAGTTATCCTGAAATATGTGATTTGTCCTGTTTGGTTTCTATTTGATAGGCATTACCATTCTTAATTATAACTATCTGCTAATACTAGTAAATTTTGTGTTGTTGGTTATTCAAACCATTTCATAATTAATTAATTTCATAACCATTTTATATGTGAGTTTCCTACAATTTCTTAATCTGCTATTTAATTATGTGCGATCATTTTTACCATTTTAAAATTTACTTAGAAACTATAAATACTTTTACTGTCATTTTACAATCTGCTAATAAATTATGGGAAATTGTTCCTAACATTTAATGCATTTTAGGCCCATATGATCTCTCTTTCCATTTTATAATCAACTAACACATTGTTCCCGTTGTTCCATGTTGTCCCATGTCAATAAGCTTAATATTGTATTCCTTACCCCTTGACAATCAGCCAAGTCTCTACATACTTCGACATCGCAAGTAAATGAAACAATATTCTTGGCATTTCCGCCAGTAATAGCGAACATCTCAAAGGCAGGCGACTCCGATAGTTCTCCTGTATTATCAGTGAAAAATCCGATTCTGTCTCGGGCATTGTAGTTATGTTTCCAGATGACCTCGGTACTTAGGTCACGGCATCTGAAAAATATAATTATAAAGAGATTCAATTTAAAGGCCTGGATCGTGTACTGTCAATCTTTATGCGATAATGCAATATAAATTCAATCATTTTTCAGAAAATGGTAGACCTCTTCCTTTATGTTGATCTAAATGACACGATTTTGCCACTTTGATAATAAATACAATTTAGTTTTATCGTAGTTGGTTATACAGGACCATACAATTGACTTAAAATTCCACTAATTTGTCCAACATATTAATGGTTATTAAGGTTCCACAATTAGGTGGGCGCGCGTCAGTCTTATTAGACGCGTTTTTTAATGTCACTGACCAAAATATCTGTATTCGGCCACCCTTAGTCAAAAATAATCAGGCACTCCATTTAAGTTAGACATAAAGCAACATAGATATATATGGCATTCCTTTGAGTCGCCTTAAAAAACTAGACCACTGGATGTTTCTTTAAATAAGAAATATCTCCAGTTTTTCAAACTTATATCATTGCATTTCATAATACCTGTTAGTAATAAGATTTACGGTATTTGTAACGGCATCATCGGTGGCGATACAAGAATCTACACGGATCGCATTTTCATCACCATCTGAAAAATTATAATTACGTAATAGTTTACGTAAAAAGTGTGTTTAGTATTATTTAGATGTATAAATATGTTACGCAATATGTCATAAAATAGTCATACGAAATAATTATTATAAGGAATGAACTTTAAAACCTGCTCCTTCTCCTCCATCTGCCCCAGCCATCGTTACTCTAAGGTTAACATGAGTTCCTATGATAATAGGAGATGCAACTGTATCTCCACTTGCATCAGTATGCATAGTTAGCGCGTAGTTTCGATCGAGGACATTTGGCGTACCCGTCGCCTCGATATTGTCAGTTGATCTATATAAAATAACAAGAATTAGCGTACACCAAGGGAAACTTCAAACCGAGTCAATCCATTCGAAAAAACTGTAATGACAGCGTTGATTGAACAATTTTATCGATCTAAATAAAGATCGCAACTCAACGAACATTTGATATAATGTGAAAATTTATGGAAAATGCAGCATGAGAGTCTGCAGTAGAATAAAAAGAAGACACCATCCTGATCCCATGGCAGTATGTAAGGTCAGATATGATGTGCACTGTAGAAAGGATGTGGATCGTACTTACTCCAAAGGCTCGTTGTCGACTTTTACGCTGGCTATACCAGTGGATGCTGGTTGGTATTCACAAACAATATTAAAGACCTTATCCTCCGCTGTAAACAATACCCCCTCGACAACCATCACTTTCATGGTGACGTGTGAAGAATTCTGCAAAGTAATATATTTCCATTTGCAAAGTTTGTGTGTGAAAATAGAGAAAATGAAGTTCAAGGGAAAATAAAAGCCTAACTGAAAATATAAGACCAACGAGAAAACGGCACTTGAAGGATACTGTAGCGATTCATTAATAGGTGCCCTGAGGTCAAAGTCAATATTTATGGGCCAAGGTCATCTCAAGGTCAAAGGATAATATCTAGATATTTGGCGTTACAAGGCCTTTGGACAAGTTCACCTCAATTAAAGAATCAGTCAAGGCCAAACGATCAATACAGGGTTAACCCAACTAATTGTTATAACATGCGTATTCCCATACAAACGATCTGTCTTCAAGAGAAAACTAAGATTTGTGGACATGTTTTGCTATCATTGCATCATACCCCAGTATGTCCTCTGTCAGTCAAAAAAGTTTGAATCATAACTCCCCACGAAAATCAAAAGATCTCACCTGTTGAAGACGCCATCTATAGAAAATGTCAAAAAATGTCATTCTGATTTTGACAGATGGAGGCAGGTCAAAAAGGTCAAATTTTTTAAAGAAAATGCACCTTAATCACATCAAATCATGTCTCAGAGTTGGTCCACACATACACTTTTTCATTCATGTACTTACCAAAATCCAACCACTGGTGATGCTAATGTAATTACAATAATTGGACTATATTTTTGTTTTTATAATGCCATCTATTCGTCTTCCCACTCGGCGGAAGGATCTAATGGTTGTGTGTCTCCTAGTAGTGACCCATCCTTTAAGTTACAATTGTAATTTCCTCCAAAATGTAACCCCAAGTTGTTTTCTAGTAAAATAATACAAACCGCAAGTAGATTCGACTATTTTTTCCAGATATATGAATGATTAAAGTTACCCATCCCCTTTCTGCAATTAGATGTTTTCCTGGGATATTGACTAAAATTGGAACCTATGGCTAGATGTGTTGGGAGGTGTCTAGTTTGAGATGGGGAGGTAGTACAGAGCTGAATGAGCTATATCTGGAAAGCACATTTTGCCTAGAATCAATTTTTGTAATTTAAAGAAATAGGCAATTAATATCTCTTATTTATGCGCATATTTAATAACACGGGGTAGATTTTTGCGAAAAAATGCTTATTCGACACTTTTGGGAAATAGTACAGACCATCGTGACATTAAACTTTGTCAAATGATAGAACAATTCATGTGTTATCAATTACATAAACTAATTGTAATCATTATTATTGCTTCTGAATGTTTACAGAGAAATATTTAGTATGGAGGATACAGAAAAATTGGTCATTTTCTCCAGTTGTTGTTCTACCCTGGGGAATATTCATCAAAGAAAACCAAAACAACACACATTTCCAATTATAGGTCTCCCAATTGATAAATGATCATTCTGAACACTGTATTTGATTACTTAAGGTTAAGTCAAGGTTAGGATTAGGGGTTAGGGTTAGGCTTGGGCTTAGGGTTAGGCTTTAGTTAGGGCTAAGGGTAGTGTTGGGGCTAGGGTTAGGCCCTGGCTTAGGGTAAGGCTATAGTTAGGGTTAGGGGTAGTGTTGGGGTTAGGCTTAGGCTCTAGCTTAGGGTTAGGCTATAGTTAGGGTTAGGGGTAGTGTTGAGGTTAGAGTTAGGGGTTAGGGTTAGGCTCTGGCTTAGGGTTAGGCTATAGTTAGGGTTAGGGGTAATGTTGGGGTAAGGGGTTAGGGTTAGGGGTTAGGGTTAGACTCTGGCTTAGGGTTAGGCTGTAGTTAGGGTTAGGAATAGTGTTGGGGTTAGGGTTAGAGTTAGGCTCTGGCTTAGGGTTAGGCTATAGATAGGGTTAGGGGTAGTGTTGGTGTTCAGGTTAAGGTTTAGAGTTAGGCTCTGGCTTAGGGTTAGGCTATAGTTAGGGTTAGAGATATTGTTGGGGTTAGGGTTAGGTCATGGCTAATGATTTAGCCTTCTAGAGCAAAATTTGTGAAAATTCCAATAAAAATCATGGAAACAGTGGAGAAATATGACCAAAGTAACAAAAAGTTGACTCCTGGTTGGAGCCTATGACGGATGTGTTGGGAGATGTCTAGTTTGATCTGGGGAGGTATTACAGAGCTGATTGAGCTATATCTGGATAGCACATTTTGCCTAGAATCAATTTTTGTGATTTAGAAAAATAATCAATAGATTTCTCTAATTTATGCACATATTTGAATAACACGGGGTAAGTTTTTGCGAAAAAATGCTTATTCAGCACTTTTTGGGGAAAAGCATGGACCATAGTGACATGAAACTTTGTCAAACGCATTGAGAGGGATGAAATTAATGAAAGTCCCAATAAAAACTGGAAAAAGTTGAGAAATATGACCAAATTAAAAAAAAGTGGTACTCCAGAATGGGCGATAATAGGGTTAACCCAACTAATTGTTATAACATGCGTATTCCCATACAAACGATCTGTCTTCAAGAGAAAACTAAGATTTGTGGACATGTTTTGCTATCATTGCATCATACCCCAGTATGTCCTCTGTCAGTCAAAAAAGTTTGAATCATAACTCCCCACGAAAATCAAAAGATCTCACCTGTTGAAGACGCCATCTATAGAAAATGTCAAAAAATGTCATTCTGATTTTGACAGATGGAGGCAGGTCAAAAAGGTCAAATTTTTTAAAGAAAATGCACCTTAATCACATCAAATCATGTCTCAGAGTTGGTCCACACATACACTTTTTCATTCATGTACTTACCAAAATCCAACCACTGGTGATGCTAATGTAATTACAATAATTGGACTATATTTTTGTTTTTATAATGCCATCTATTCGTCTTCCCACTCGGCGGAAGGATCTAATGGTTGTGTGTCTCCACACAGGTATCTAGCATTTTATGGCGGCTGCTGCCATGTGGGGGCTGCTGTCACCCTTGGTTATCCACTGGAACGGGAACAATTAATTTTGTCCATTTTAGGAAGGATATTTACAATGAGAAATAACTCACTACTGCTTCAACACCACAGACGCCTTCGCTGGGGTAAGAAGGACCAGGCAGTGATTCTGCATCCCAATAGTAAGAGAACGAACTAGTGAACGAGACTGAAGGGTTTGCAATTGAAGTCGTTGTTGAGTCTTTATTAAACTCACAATCTGACGATGGACTGTCAGTGAAAACATATACTGTGTAGTTCTCGACGGTTGCTGCATCCGGGACAGTAAGCGTGACCTCTATCGGTCCGTAAATGTTCCCCGGGCCTTCAGTTCCGCATGCTACCGCAACTACAGGTAATATCAAGATATTTGAATCACATATACCTTGTCAAAATGTACATTTTGTCACAAAATATAAGGAAAATAATTAGCGATACAGACTACAGTCTTATCTAATTGGACGCTTTCTAATTCAGATCATAGATACAATTCGAAAAGTCATGTTGAATTTCTCAATATTCGATCCCAACAGTCAACTATACAATAAAGTAACAATATTGAACAAATATTTCACTCTATTGAGGTGAATACCTGTACATCTTTCACAAGTGATATTCCACGAAGCCCGAAGGGCAAGTGGAATATCACCTTGTGTAAGTGCTACAGGTATTCACCGAAAATAGAGTTAAATATTTGTTTTATTATATCACTGTCTAGCTAAACATTCCTAAACACCCTAATATTATTAAGTCATAGGTTAACATTGAAATACTTTTCTTCAGATATTTTTACGAATCTACTCGAACACTGAACTAAATTATTTACACTGAACGAAAACAAATTTTTTGAAAATTCCCAGGAGCGTGGGATATCGTTAGATATCTCACGGTTGTCTTATCTGATTAGCATTGCCATTGAATATCGCCAGGTATCCCACGACATGTGACCCGGTTTTGACCTATCATACTGTCGCTAGCTAGATAGTGATATAATAATACAATTTATTCAATATTGACAATATGTACCCCCCCCCCCGTTATTGATAAAGTATGTTGGTAATCTATAATATGAACGACTTACAGTCATCTGTTGTTACAATCGGTGCAACTCCAAACGTTCTCTGAAAAAGTAAAATCTATGAAACATGTTTTATAGAAACCGATAATTAAAACACCACTTTTATTTTTTATATCTAAAAACACTTGCTGATACAATACAAATAACATCACTACTGCCAGAATTCGTGAATCTAGTATAGTTTGTCGAAGGCTACCAATGCTCTGCATTTTTCCCGACAATAGTTGGTTTTCTCCAGTATACAATAGATATCCAAGGGTAAAAACGAAACCTTGTCTTATTTTGAATTTTCACAAACAAGTTCAAGTCGACTTTACTTCATAGAACCAAAGATTTGACACTGCCGGGATTTATCAGAAAATATCACATTCTCATACCTGAACTAGAACGGCAAGAACAAATCCTATACTACTGAGTACCCAGCAGTGTTTCCCCATTGTGTCCTGCAAATGAAAATGACATGTAACTGTTTTGTTGCCATGGTCTAAATGAAAATGTAAGAAGGCGTTGAAAAGAATAGTGATGAGTTGAAATATTATTGATAACCTTAAGATATATGATGATGCTGCGTTGTGAAGAACATCAGCCCTCTTAGAACAGAAAGATGAATTGGGAAATCGAAATTTAAATACCTTTGTTAATGATAAATAATATATATATATAATGAGGTTTTATAGCAACAGAGTAACCTTACCTTTTATAAATTGTGTACAATTCGCTGCTCTAATGACGTAAAGTGCGCTTGTTTACCATATCCACCATGTCTATGCGGAACACTCAAAACTGCCCGTATAATATCAATTAGGAATTCTAATCTAAAATTTATATCCAGAGGGATACAGTTTGTTCACTAAATGATCCGGGTATTGTAAGCAAATGGCAGCAGATCATATTTTTCAACACTATTTTAATAATAAAACTCGAAAGGATGTTAGGTAGAAAAAAATAATGGCAGCAGATGATATTTGAAGAATAGCCGGATGCTGGTTTGGGCCAAAAGTAATTTAATTTAGGAAAAAGTAGTAGGTAGGATATCAAGAGCATCGGAACCTCAATCAATGATAAGAAAACGATTGAAGATTAAGGTCTAGGCCGGTTATCGGTAGTTCCAAGATCGCAAAATCTAGCCTCTGATATCCGAAAACTAAACCCAGTTTCATTTTAAATAATCAAACGATTTTATGCCTGAACATTGCACTTAACATCTAGAAATAAAAGAATATGAACAATTTCTCACCTTAACGCTGATAATCATCTTATTTATCACTCTTCACGTGCTTTTACAGACCCAACAAATGAAACTTGCTATAAATAACTAGTCACGCGTGTGTGGCAATATCGTTTGTTACCCCTTTACTTGGTATGGTAAGTAAAATAGGAATATTGGAATCGGACTACATGATCTGAATAGATGGATAGATTCGATGAGCTGAAATCAGATAACTGATTTTTGAACATACATACAGGGTGAGCAAAAAAAGGTAACCAAAACAAATGTTAATAACGCAGTCATTCACCATAACGTCTGTTTATACGTAAAGGTATACGTTATTAGTTCTTGCTTATATTATAGATTCGATACTAAATAAATATGATTTTATGCCAAGTATCACTGTGATTCCTGACCTATAAGGTCAGAATTTACAAATGATAACGTAATACACAAACGTTTTAAGTTATAGATAAAAATAAGTGATTTATAAACACAGTATACCTAAGTTACTGTCATACAGCCATTTGCCGAGAATTCAATAAGTCAGACTACTGTTCAACTTTAGAGTTAAAAAGTAGAACGTTCTCTAGACCGGACTACAAATATGTGGAACCTAACATATGAAAATACGCCAAAAACAGAACTTTTGTACTTATTTTATTTTTATCAAACCACATAAGTGACATTTAGGTATATTCATAACATTGTTAAATTCAGAATATGTTCATTTTTTATTAAACCATAGCCAGGGCAAAAACTAAGCAAGGCTAGGCTAATGTCAATGGGTCCGGCAAAGTTTAGGAGGTATTTTCTAACTACCTCTGGACTTCGAATTCATTACATTACTAAAATGTGTTCCATATCTTAGAATTCTGTTACACTGGATTTTTGTCTTCAAATTATTTGTCAATTTACTTAAATCAAAATTGTTGATTTTGATTTTGCCACACTATGGTTATTGTACAAAATATTTGTGCTTCGATTTTCAGTTTTACCCGTGTATCAATTATTCTATCCATGTCAGCTGCTAACATCAACGCCTGGTCTATTCTTATTCCAGATTGTTTATTACGTTCGGAGACCAGTGGGCCAAGGTCATACTTGACTATATAGTCCTGTGATCATTCCTAATATCATCGCCAACATCGAATGGGTTGAAACGCTTGCAACTGAAAAATAAACAGTTTGTTAATTTAATCTCAATTTTAAGAACATTTTAGGCCAATTTTATACTTTGCTAAAATATGTTAATCCAACATTTTGATCACAAATCAAAGCCGAAGGAAAAATTACGATTCAAACATTGACATGATTTGATACCCTGTCAAGTGAAAATTTCTGGTGGCCAAACTTATGAAAATTTGGAAAATAGAAAATGTACTTTATGTAAATCTGGCAACATTGAGTCACCAAATTTTTGAAGAAACAGAATCAACTACGGATCAAAAGTTTCAGTATTTATTTGAAAAAATGCCTAGGCAAGCTGCTCATTTTGTTGAACGTTGTTATTTAATCATGTAAATTGAATTTAACTGCATGTATGTGTCTAAGAAATTCATGCTAGTATTTTTAAAATTGTTTGTTATGAATCTAATTGTAATTTTTAACATTAGTGGTTGATAAGCCCAAGTGGGCTGGGTTGCTTTTTATTACTTTTTTTTGTATTGTATTGTATATAAATAACAATAAAGCTAAACTTTTTTTTTAAATTAAAATCAATGCAACATATTTACAGGTTGTAGTGGCTATGACCCCCAAGAGGGAGTATTAGGTGCTAAACTAAACTAAACTAAACTATGGAGAGGAGTGTACTGTAAATAAGTTAAAAAATTGTGTTTTACTCACCAGATGTCCCTGACTGATTAGGGTCACTGGTAGTTTTCACTATTTCAGCATCATCTTGTATTCTTACTGACGTAGATAGCATCACGTGACCAGCCGTTGCACTACTACTACGTCTGTATCTATCGACGCCTGCCAGACGTAAAAAGTCACGTTTACGCCTTTTACTCGGACAGTTATCCTGGAAAATAGAAAAATATGTGCTCTGTATTGTTCCTACTCCTCTTATCGCCGAAATGAACTTATTCTTACCAGTTTACATTTAACAGTATTGAAATGATTTTTCCAATGCCAAGTCAGGGGGAAAAATACAAAAGTACATAAATCTTACGCCTTGGCAATCAGCTAGTATTCGACAAACTTCCACATTGCAACTGAAGGATACAATATTCTTGGTGTTTCCACCCGTAATAGCAAACATTTCAAACGCAGGCGACACCGATAGTGCTCCCGTATTATCCGTGAAGAATCCCAGTCTGTCGAGAGCATTGTAGGGGTCCTGCCAGATGATTTCAGTAGTTACGTCACGACATCTGTAAATATAACAGTAACATTTAGAGTGCGCTATAGCTATAAAGAATGAAAAGCTTTAACGTTTCTTTATTTAGAGATCTAATACATTTAGACTGATTTATTTTGAGATTAATTTGAGATCCAATAAATGCAGTACAAATTAATATGGAATACTTTATAAGACATCGTGTCTATTAGTTATAAGTCATCTTCCTTCTTAATTATAATACATGGACATGTCACCCTATTTCTTATCGAACATCTTACAGAGTTATAAGTCATTTTACTTAATTAGTTATGAAATGTATACATGTTACCTATCACTTATAAGGCATCTACCTTTTAGTAATAAGTTATCTTACCTAATCATAAGACATCATACCTATTAGTTATAAGATTTACAGTATTTGTAATGGCATCATCGGTGGCGATACAAGAATCTACACGGACCGCATTTTCATCTCCATCTGAAAAAAGTGACGTGTTTGTTAAAACAAAGGAAATGACAACAATAAATGTTATTGGACAATTGTTGACAAAGTTATAATGACGTGATTATAAGAGGAGTACAATCATAAACCCCGGGTCATAAACTAAACGGGTCAACATGTCTTCAAGATGTTTGATGTTCGTTGAAAATAAAGTTGAATACCTGCCCCCGCTCCAGAATCTACCCCAGACATCGAAACTCTAAGGTACACGTCTGTTCCTATGGTAACTGTAGATGCGACAGGGTCGTCAGTTGCATCAATGTGCATACTTAGTACGTAGTTCCGATCGAGAACATTGGGCGTACCTGTTGCCCCGACGTTGTCAGTGGAGCTAAATAAATTGACAACATGAAGTACAAGTAATTACTAGTAACTTGATTTAACATTTAACAAAATGGATTTTCAAAGATCAAAAAGAAAGAATGATTTTGCAGCTTGAAGGACAGTAGGCCCTAGAAATGAACGATCAGTTTTTTTCAATCCAACAGAACGATTGATCGATTTTATCCTTTTTTATACTTATTTGTAAAGTATTGTTGAAGAATCACTAAACAGTAATGTGTCTTTTTACCCTTTTAATCCATTTTCCCAAGCGTGTTTACTCGCGATTTCAACGGTTACTTTCTCGCGATTTCATGGGGTCGTTGATCATACAGGTGTAAAAGGGTAGGATGTCCTTTCAAATTATGGTCCTACTCTCCATTGATTTATATGGTGACCTCAATACAACTCTCTCCCTCATTATCTTATACGCAATCAGGGCCAGTAATGGCCGTTAAGAAAGGGGACCATAATCCCTGGGGGACCATAATTGCTTTCACACCGGTGCTCTTGTAGCAGAGGGGTTAAGTCGTTAAGGAGGGAACATATTTGTACTTACTCTAAAGGGTCATTGTTAACGTTTACTGTCCCAGTACCTATGGATGCAGGCTGGTATTCACATATAATGTTAAAAACTTTATCTTCCGCTGTGAATAATATGCCTTCGACCACCATCACTTTCATTATAACGTGTGAGGAATTCTACAAAGGAAAAGTGTTTTGAATCGTATAATGTTGTACTCAGTACTTCTAAACATTCTTTTGTTATCTTACACGTATTTATGAAGAATATTTCTCAAGTATAATTTTAGAGAGTTTAAGCTTGCAATCTTTTTCACAACGTAACCTTGGACGGAAAGTACATGAATTAATTTAGGAATCTGTCGAGCGCTTGCCGCTTAGTAGTTTTATATGCGATAGTCGACTTCAGATACACGTTCAGCTTCAGAGTTTTGTGTTTAGAACGGAAAATTAAAATTTTCACATTGGTATCATCGGGAATCATTTTACTTATGTATATAGTCATACTATGTTGGTAATTTTGATATCGATGCTCAGTAGAATACTTTCTGAAGAAGATGATGTATGTCAAGCATGTTTAGCTACAAATGTTTAACGATACGAGCTTGTTGAATGTTTAAAATATATATCAGAAAACCAGCAATAGAACTATCAATGGCATATTACTACATGCTGCGGTGTAGTCTCAACAAACACTGAAGCCCGAACGGTTATTTAAGTGAGAAACTACATGCATTTGTATGTGGGCGATTGATACGTATAGGTTGCTGTTTCGATTTTATATACAAGCTTAAGCACTCTATTGTCTTATTTATACATGACATCAAACAACAAATGGAAATATCTCGTATATATATTTGATATTACTTATAAAAGAGCAACCACTCACTACTGCCGCTACATCACAAACGCCTTCACTAGGATATGGGCTTGAGAGAGCTTCTGCGATCCAATTGTACGAGAACGAATTAGTAAACGTGGGTGTTGAAGGGTTAAGTACTGAGGTCGCTGTCGAGTCTCTGTTGAACTCACAAGATGGCGGTGCAGCATTGTCAGAGAAAATATAAACTGTGTAATCCTCGACGGTGGCTGCATCCGGGACAGTAAGGGTGACATCTATCGGTCCGTACGTGTTTCCCGCGCTCTCAGTTCCACATGTCACGGCAACTGCGGGTCGTGATTCAAATTTCTTTTATAAATTTATTCTAAATCGCTGAATACATACATACTACTATAATATATTTGAAATAGTTATATGGCTGTGAAATTGTATAATTAAAATGTACTCTCCCCAAAGGTAGGTGTCGCATTAGTCGTGTTGGTTCACCGTTCCCCATCGTGTGGCTAATTTTGGGCATTTTTTTAAAATTAATTAGTTTTGTGTTTGGTGTGATGGGGGATACCTTGCTATGCAATAAAAAGTATCCAAACGGTGGCGACCACGCGGCCTAAGTGTTAGAGCTCCATAATCAAGGAAATATGGAAAATTAAAATAGGTGTATATATTTCTGTTGAAAAGGTAGAAGATGAAAAGCTATCCATTAAATTGAATTACTTACAATCAGCTTGTGTCACAGTTGGAGGAACTCCGATTGTTCTCTGAAATATAATATAAATATCTATATGAGACACTTAAAATGATTTTTTATAATACTTTCCATTTTTCAATAATTGATATGTTCTTATTGTACTATCAGGCAAAGTCAGCAGAAATGTGTTTTAAATATAATTTTTATTGCTATTCCACTGCATTCTTTATTTGAATTCAAGAGAATAAACGTTTTTGGCCATTTTATGCAAAAAAATGTTAAAGTCTGGAGCCCATGGGAGGGGTAAATTTAGTTAAAAGAACCACACCACGTTTCACCTTTGAAGCATAACCTTTTTTGAAGCATACTACCACCGTCGATAGGTTTTTAACTAAATGACTGGCTAACTATATCAAAAATAAGACTTTTTAGAAAGAACCAGTTTGATCTTTTAAATAAAATTATTAACTATAGAAATCTGCAATATTAGAAAATTTCATAGTGGGAATTTTGAGAAGAGCGATACTAGTATTGAAAGCAGTTTATGATGGCAAACGCCAAGATTTTTGGAACGAGGCAAAGACAAATATTTGACCCTTCTTATTTTGAAGATCATCATGCTATTGTAACATATTAAAAATATGGGCTTTATTACTTTAGACCTGATGAATGAACACGTGGCGCACTTTTCAACACTACTTCATGAGATATCAATTACAAATCGAATATGATACCGCGTTAAAAACGATACTTTATATGAAGAATGTGCAATTAAACTGCTAATTGGCTCCACTTTATTGCGTGCATAGCTAGGTTTTCTTGAAAGCCCATTGTTTTAAAATAGAAACAAAGATGACGAAATGTTTAATCATAAGACATGTTAGAAAATGTCATATTAAGCCCAACATACATCGCGGTGTGACCTCCATATTGTGCGGAACCCCATTGGACTTCACGGGCTCCGTGTGAATTTGCCCCATGACGAACTAATCAAGTCCCATGGGACTTAACCGGGCTTCACTGGCAAAGTCACACCAAGTCACATCAAGAATTGCCCTGCGCGCAGAGTCTAGTTAAACTGAAGACGAAGCTCTCTTTTAAGAAGTGAAGTCAAACGAATGCAAAGGGTAATCAAGAATGAGCTTGTCCTTTCTTTCCATAGGACATCTTGGTTCATATGACGTGTAAGCTGACTTGTGCATCAAAATAGCCACGGCAAAATCTTTTATAATAAAGAACATTATTTCCCTGGGATTCAATTGGGCATGGTGGGACTCGATGGCACACCATGGGGCAAAGTTAATGAGGTTCAATGGGACTTCATGGGACTCGCTGGGGCACGGTCGGGCAAGTTGGACTTTGCCCCATTTATGTTTGTTGGGATAAAGATACATATACGTACCTGAACTACAAGCCCCAGAGTAAATAAGATCCTAGTGAGCATCAAACAGTGTTTCTCCATATTGTCCTACAAATGAAAATTAATCAGCATCTTTAACTCTAAAATGTACGGTACAGAAAATTATAACGATTTAGTTCTGACTTATAATTCTGGATTTAATTCAAAGGTTATCTAGCAAGAAATTAAATCTTCCATTACTTCATATTTGGTTAAGTATCTTCTTTTTTAGAAAATCAATTTAGAATTATAAGGAATATGTTACAGTAGTTTAAATTTTGAAAATATTGCCTCCTACATTTTCCTAATTCACAAATCTCGTAGCAGTCAACGAGGTACAGACAAATAAAGTCAAGTGTATACACACTATCAAAATGCATACATTTAAGATACTTCATAATTCTAATATATCAAGTACAATCACATTTCCTTTTTCAGTAAAATTTAGGTTACATTTGAGAAGAAAAGCCATGTATCTTACATAATAAACTCCTTATAAAGACATATTTCCAACTTCCTTGATGAAAAGAGCATTGGCTTTCATCCGTTTTACGAATTGCATTTTAGATAGTTAATTTAAATTCTTATATCTACCAAGTAGTATTTCTTTCAAAAAGGCCAAAGTTGATATTCTATGAGGCCTTTGTTACCCCCAATTTGTAAAAGTTTAAATTTAAAAGTTTAAATTTATCAACTTTGAAAAATTAATTTTCTTTGAAAATGTGACTTCTAGGTCGGGGAGATTCTCCATAGACCCCATGTTGTAAAACCACAAAAAGTGAAATATCTTTTCTTGTGTTGGGCAGATAATATTTTCTTTTACTGGACATATTTTAAATTGTATAAATATCAGGTACATAATGGTAATATGAAAAGTGAACCACTAAAACGGATGCATATTCAAGTTTAAGGGAATTTTGTAATACCCTGCCATGTTATTTCCCCCGACTCAGCCACCTGGTGGCGAAACTGATAACTACCTACTCGCATCTGAGTTATTCAATGATAATCCCGAAATAGTCTCTTTGAAAAGGAATATAACTTTCCGATAAACCCATTTTTCCACTATGTCAAAGAAATAGGATATATTGTCAACATTAATGGTGTCATCGGGTGTAGGTTCTCGAACAATGCACATTTATAATACAATCCGATACTAAATAATACAATACAATACAATATATTACAGTACAATACAATACAATACAATACAATGCAATACATTGCAATACAATACGAGAATATCAAAAAATATTAAAGTTAGTGTAAATGTGCACTACTTCTGAGACAACCATCGAACAATACAATACAATACAATATAATATAATACAATGCAATACGATACGATACGGTACAATTACAATGCAACGCAATATAATCCAATAATGCAATACAAAGTAATATAATTATGCAGTACATTTTTCCTCAAGTTAAAAGTTAGCAAAAGTTGACTGGGCAACGCCAATCTTTTTTATAGTATTTTAAGCTAGATGTTACCACAGCAATACAGTCAAATTCCACTAATCGTAAATATAGTCAACAAGCGACATATGATAAACATATAATACCAAATATTTAGATGAAATACGACAAATTCAAATCCATTGAAATACAACAAAATTGAAATACAAAAAATCAAATCCTTTTAAATTTAACTCGACTCTCTTCAAGTTAGAGCTAAAAAAGTAGGTTACAATTATTCAAAATGGCATCTCATTAATTGTTAGCAATAACTTCCTGACTAGATACAAAAGTTGATCTTATGAAAAATTAATTGGATTTTTATCTTTTTTATAATTATAGTATACAGTAAAATATGTACGCTTTTACTTACCTTAGCTTTGCTTCGTAAAAAATATCAACTGTTTCGTTCAGGATGAAGATGTGACAACGCCCAATGGTCATCACTTTAATATGAGGTCAAGTATTGTTTATTACCAAAATTCAAACTTTTATATCAAAGGTACAATATTTATTTATCACTCTTTATGAATATGAATTACATTCATGAATAATCTGGAGAACTGTTTTAGTTTGTTTTCAATAAAAACCCTGAGGATAGAGAAATGGTCCAAATGCAACAAATTGAAGACTTCCTAATCTAAGATAAATATGTACCCTTCCATGTTAGATAGATGGACTGGTTGAGCTTTTGGATATGCGGGCATCTGTAAAAGTCAGGGATTTGCTTCGCGGAGACGCGTTCACAGGACGAAAGTTCAGCTTCAATAATTTCCATATTCACGAATCTCTATCCCCGGGAGAGGTTCTGGGTGTTTGAGATATGGGGATGTCGTATACGCAGGCCCGTAGCCAGCTTTTGCCAAAATGGATCACTTTTATAGAAAATATCAAGGGATGGGGGGCGGGGTCATTATTGACAACTTGGCCAAAATCACTTGAAAAGTCATCAGAATGTTGAAAAACTGCTTGATTTTGAAGCAGTTTTTGGCCGGAGGGGGCGGGGGGGGGGGGTTGTACGACCCCATGGCTACAGGCCTGTATCGGTATAGGACATACAGAGGACATATAGGCAGTGATCCTTGGTTTATCTGGCGTCGGGTATCATATTATGTCATATTGTCTCGTAGGATAAACTAATACGCATATTCCCAAGTGACCAGATAACGTATTTTACCAGTGCCGTTCCGCGATGATTATTTTATTCAGAATCAAAAATAAGGGTACTTAATGAGAATAGTTACTTCTTTAAAATGCTTTGTAGCTAATATCAAAGTGACCATGCGGCTTAATAACAGTTACCCCTAATCTTTACTCGTTGAAACAAGAATAGTGATCGACTTCGTTGTCCACAAAGTATGATGACGACGTTTTGTTCTATTTTTGAGGATTCGAAGAAGACTTGCAGAAAATTAAGAAAAAAATCATTCACATGTTCAGAAGAATAGTCGAGAAAAACATAGATTTGAAAAGAAATATAATGCAAAATTGTATTCTTCACTGAACTTAAAGTGAAAAGGTGCTTGCCAGGACCATTACATTTTTATATAGTACCAACCAAAAAATTCAAAAGGGCCTTAGTTATTGATGTTCCGTTTAAGAACCCCTATTCTTACAATTGAAAATCATAAATGGATTTTAGCAACACTCTCACATGAATCTAGTTATTGAGACTCATAAACTTGAGTTCTTCTGTCATGATTTTTATCCCCATGTTAAGTCGAACGGATACAGTCATGCCGAAATCCTCACTTTCTCAGTAGTACTTAAGTTGACCGATTATTGTATGATATGACTTCCGATCGTCTCATGCCAATACAGAATTTCTGGAGCAGAATACATACCTTCCTTTCCTACTGTGTTTATAGCTTAGCGATGAATTCATAGATGTCGTACATGTAGTTAAAATGATATGTCGCCCTGAGGCCCGGGTATACAGTCATTAATAAAAAATCAGTCTTATTCCTATTCAATGTAAGTAATATAGTAATATAGTAAAAGAAATTAATATACATGTATACACCACGCATTACCAACACAGTACACTAGGGGACTTTTTAAACATTTTTAACGTATTCCTGGGCCTCAGCCTTATACACTAAGACAGGTGACGTCGTGGATGTATCCCACGTCGATACTCAATCTCAAGCGAGTGGCCTGAGTGGTTGGTTCTGACACAACCTTGACATAATATCGATTAGCCAATAAAATGGTTAGGGTGTCGACTTTTGCCAAGCAACCGAAGATACCTCAAGAAAAGCCGGAGATTGCCGAAGATTGCCGAAGCTTTTCTTTGCAAACAAAGTTGGCCGAGGGTACCACGAATGTGAAGAGGACGTCTCTAATTGGTCAAAAATAGGGGCTCGGCATTCTCCGAAATATGAATTATGGTCTCATTAAACTAGCATTCGCAAATTTAGTCCGGCTGGCGGCTGACGGTATAACCTTCTTGAACTTGAACGAAATGGAGGCAGGTACTATTCATGTTTAAATGAGTTGACCAGAGAATAGTTGGTTAATCCGTCAGCCAGCAGTTGAATTCGCGAATTCTACCGTAGAGACTTATTAACGACAAGTTTTTTTGTGTATTTATACTTGGAGCAATTTAAAATGTCTTTCTGAAACTTGTTGGAACAAAATAAAATTGGATATACAACATGTTTTTAAACCTCTCAATATTATAGTTATGCAAAGGAATTTTTGGTTGATTTTGAAAAAGTATTCAAACAAAATCCCCCAAAATAGATAAAAAGCAAGATAAACATTTTATATCATTAACAAGATACTTTTTTAAAATCAACCAAAATTTCGATTCCTTTGTACAATTACAATATTGAGAGACCTAAACATGCTGTGTTTATGTCGTTTTGTTCCAATGAGGTTTGGAAAGATGTTTCATTTCACTCTGGAAACAGGATACCAAGAACAAAACAAGTGTTTGATGTGTTTTCTAAGACAATATAGACGAAAGTAAATATATATATTTCAAATTATATTGTTACCATTCACAAGATGACCATTAAATTGACGTTGTGCTAAATTTTTAGATTTTTTATGACTGGTTTAAGAGAAACGTGTGTTCAAAAAGTTCTCCAAATATATACCACTCTTTTGTAATGTATACAGTATAATGTGCAAAATATTGTAATTTGGCATGATAACAATAAATTTATTTCATGAAATGCTCGAAAAAGATCCTTTGATCCTTTGAGTTTGCCAGTTACTCTAAAGTACAAAAGGCTTTGTATTTTCTATAAATGGTTCACGATGAATTTCAATCCAGACAATGGTGAAGGAACTCAATGCTTATTCCGTTCAATGCCCTCAATAAAAGAATTGCAGTTCAAATATCTATAACACTTGTCGAAATACTTCGATTGCAAATGGATGTGTCTGTGAACGAAAAATTACCTTAGTGTAATGTTGTTGTCTCCGTGTTGGTAAGATGTTTCTTTCATTGTATTTATTTTGTTTGTAATTTGTAACTTATGTTGATTATCTAACTTATCTAAAGTGTGCACACCTAAAATTATATCTAAAACTAATCTTCAAAAACTAATCTTCAACTGCCTATATCATGATATATATATCTTTACATATGGACAACTTGGGCTCAACTGACCAGTTTGGCCTCTACAGCATAATTAGCCCTTTCATAACTCAAGTAAACTTTAAAACAAATCGGGTATTTAGGCAATTTAGCCCTTGTAGTAAATTTCTCTTCTTATTTATATTACAGTGTGTCTTGATTATATTCACTCAAACAGTAAAAGTCTATAACGTGGGGATTTGTAGGAATTGTAGGGATACTTCAAGGATATTTTAATTCATCGGTTGAAGTATTTGTGTAGTGTATGAGGTCAAACTTTGAAAAACTTCTGTTCATTTCAGCAGTGGCATGAAGAACATATCTGCGAGTCATCTAAAAGTTGGAGAAAATGTGTTGGTAAGAACAACGACAATGAATTTTGACAAGAAATTGATGAGACCGCCGACATAATAGCAAGGCAGTATAACAGATGGACAGAAATGCGAATCATAAGGTTGCGTCTTGGGAATTGTGGTCAATGTTCCTTAATACTAAGATTGCTAGTAGTGTTAGGCGGGATATTCTTACTTAGAGCGATATGGGTCACACCAAGCTATAAGAATGGAACCCAAACGCAAACTCGAAACTTCGTATTGCGTAACACAAGTACACGTAATTCACTTCAAAGAAGCATCTCGAGATTATTATTCAGTAATGGATACACTGAGAAAGAAGAAAATATAATATCTTCAATGTTTGAAATGTATCATCCAAAAACTAGAAACAATACATATAACTTCACATATATTCACGTGCCAGATATTCCTCGACAGGATGATAGACCTAGACGGCTTTATTTAGAACATGGGACCGGTCGCCTTGGTAACAAACTATTTCATGTAGCAGCGGCGATCTCCATAGCGATAGCCAACAATATGGAACTATATTTACCGTATGATACGGATGTCGTAAGGATATTTAATATGACACAATTCAATACGTACACACCACCGGAGTATGACGCTTTTAACAAATCAGGAGGAAAAATTAAGATTATACACCATGTAAGTTACGTTGAAGAATACATGGATATGGCATGGAAATATCATGTTAAGCTAGACAAAGGGGGTGTCCAGACTTACTTATATTTCTGGAAATATCAGCCTCTAATCCGTAGCTTATATGTTTTTAACAAGTTCATACAATACCAAATTCAGTTTTTCATGAGCGAATTACAGAGAAAATACTCTCAATTCGGTAATTTGACTTATATTGGGATACATTGTCGTCGTGGTGACCGTGCATATGACAAGGAGATCATAAAAGCTGGATATCAAGCGACACCTATATCCTACTTCCAAAAAGCTATAAATTTCACGCTTACTCGGTACAAGACACCTATCATTTACGTAGTGGCTACGGATGACAGAGACTGGACGACAAAATACCTCAAAAACCCTGGAGAAAATACATTTATTGAGCATACTCCCTGGGGCTTAACTGCAGAATATGACATGGGTATTTTATCAAGCATGAATCACACAATTATGTCAACCGGATCATTTGGATGGTGGGCAGCATATTTAGCAGGAGGTGACGTAATCTATTACAACCAACCATTTAAGCCTAAAACTATTCGAGGGAAACATTGGCAAAGGTGGTTCCAAACGCAAATGTACCCCAGAGAAGACAACTGGATCGGTATGGATGCCTCGTAAATGATCATGATAAGACATACATGCAATATAATTTAAGGTAGTTTATGACATCATGTTCTCAAAGTTCAAGTTTATGACATCATGTACTCAAAGTACAAATTTATTACATCAAGTACTCACAGTTCAAGTTTATACCATCTCATGCACTCACAGTTAAAGTTTATGGCAGTATGTAGTGCTCACAGTGTATGATATTATGTACTTACAGTACAATGGTATGACATCATGTACTCACAGTACAAGTTTATGACATCAAGTACTCACAGTAAAAGTTTATGACATCATGTCCTCATAGTAAAAGTTTATGACATGATGTACTCACAGTAAAACTTTATGACATCATGTCCTCATAGTAAAAGTTTATGACATCATGTCCTCATAGTAAAAGTTTATGACATCATGCACTCACAGTAAAAGTTGATGACATCATGTACGCACAGTACAAGTTTATGACATCATTCAATACAATAGAATAACTTGACATCAATATTCAGATTGTTGAACAAGCTTTGGAAATTTTCATTACTTTCATTATATAGTCGCCAATTTTGTCATAAATACTGTTATCATGTAAATACTATTATCATTGAAGAATATAGAAAAACTAGTTGCCATGAAATACAAGCTTCTATTCGTGATGTTAATCTGGCTGCAAAGAGTAAACAATCTTGTTTGACCTAATGGAGTAGGTATACAGCGGTGGTCAATACTAAATAGTGCGTTGATATTGGGACCTCGTATATAATTTAATACTCTATGATCCATTCGATTACGCTGGTTACCGTTTCGGTAACAAAATGTCGGAACGTCGAAGGTACGATTTTTCTTTTTCCTTATTCCACGCGTTTTAGGCAGAATTCCCACATTTTCATCACAAACATGTATCACTATCATATGTACAGGGTGGGCAAAAAAAACGCCACTTTTTTCAAAATGCTATAACTTTTTTAATTGATGATACAAAATCATAATCTACATACCAAATGAGACTTGAGGTTGTATCTAGCCATTGATCATGAATCATACACTTTTACTTGAATAAAATATGTCAACAGCGTCTCACTTAAACATGGGGTGTGCAATGAGAAATAAGCATAATTTGCATAATGTTCCTAAACTGATACGCCCTGATGACCGCAAGCTAATGGCCCTAATTCAAACCCAAGTGAGTATAGGGTATGGGGAGGTCTCCAGGAGATGGTATGAAGGCACCCAATCTAAAAAATTGCTTAACTAAAGCTGGCAATTAAGACACGTTGAAAAAAATATAGCTAGCATTTCAATGATACTGCTATATCAGCAAGGTGACTAAAACTAAAATCTATCATCAAATGAGGTGGCGGACCAATTGAACTCCTCTTTTTAGATCAAATATAATCCCAGTTGAAGGACTTGTTACATTATATTATTACTTAGAACCCTTGGCACTATATAGCTGCAAAATTTGGGGTATGTAGGTTGGAAAATAAAAAAGTTATAGTGTCTTGGCCCACCCTGTATATTGCGAACAAATAGTTCAGAAGACAACATGATCATAGATTTCACTTCTTAGTTAAGTTACATAAACGGCATTTCGAAAAACAGTTAAGATCTGCACTTTTAACCCTTACCGTTTATGTAACTTATGTGAGGAATTAAATCGACGATTCTGTTGTCTTCTGAGCTATTTCTTCGCAAACATGTACATTTTCTAAAACATATGATACTGATATACGTTTGTGAGAAAAAAATGTGGGGATTCTGCCTACAACGCGTGAGATAAGGAAAAAAAGAAAAATCGAACCTTCGACGTTCCGATATTTTGTTACTGAAACGAACCGTTTCGGTAACCAGCGTAATCGAGCGGATCACCAATGAATATGATCATTTCCAATTTTCTTGAAATAAGGGTCAGAAGCTGTTGCTAGCAAATCCCTCTCCCTCCATGAAGTTCAACAAATCTAAATTCCTTGGCAATTTTGTTTCATTTGAGCCGATCAAAAAATCTTTAATTTTGACATTTGGAGAACGGTTTACAGAGGTTTATACAAAGTACTAGCAAGAAATTTGCACCAGTTTCACCAAAAAACTTTTTGCTTCAATTCCATCAGCTATGTATGGCTTAGTAGATAGTCTCGCGATGAGGCCTGTTGCAAGTTTGTTTGTTAAGGGTTTCTAGACGTTCTAGAGGTCCTAATCAACTAATTCTGATATTTGATTAATTTTGTGTGTCCATTGGGGATTTGGTATATATGATATATTTCAAATTAAAAAAAAAACATATTAGCAAACAGATTAACCACATGCCCCTACCCCATCTTAATTGCACAACTTAATATCTAATTAAGTATATCAAGTTACATGTCCTTTATTGTTTTGTCCTCTAATTCACACCGGACGTTTACTTAATACCTTAACGGGTTCGCCTTGGGTCGATACAAGAGGAGGAAATACCCCCAAATGCATGGATGAAGCTATCTTCATATAGATATATGAATTCTGGGATATTTCCTCGTCTTGGTCGATACCTCTAGATCTACATTTGATCAATTCATTATGGGTAAAGTGACTCCGTTTCAATACAATGCAGTCAATGGTAAATAAGTGAAAATAAACAAAATAATCAATATGGCAAATGGTTATTACACTGGCGGGCCCAATGATTTTGAAGGGCCTTAATTTGCAGGCCTTTTGGGCTTTTTTAGGCCCTAACATCTTTAGGGCCCAATTTTTGGAATTTGGGGCTCAATTTTTTTCAGATTTAAAATGTGGGCCCCCTTGTTAGCTTCTAGATCCGCCAGTGCATTACTCCAATTCTAACATAAACGTCGGATGAGAACTCCACATTGTGCTTATCGACTTCAGTAGCTCGACCGCCTAGCCAAGGAACATGTATTATAAATAATGAATGCAAAATCTAACTCAGGACTCCTAAGAAAAAATCCTAGGGGACTCCAATTGGACAAACTTTGATTTCGCATTAAGTATATACATGTTCCTTGGCCTATGCCACCAACCCCACATGTCCTAGACAGTCAATATGGTACAACGAAAATGGGACTTCTGCGCATGTTAAAAATTTTCGTCAAAACTCAACTTTTGTTCAAGTTGATACGATTGTCTGTCGAACTAGAGACTTACCTCATTCGAAAGATCATAAAAGACTTTATCTATACTGAAAATCTTAGATCCAAACATAGTAGAATACGCCGTCAGTCCGCATTTGATTTTTTGAAGTGAGTTTCGTAGATCGTCAGATTTCTCCGACTGATATCGGGTTATCTCAAACTGGTTCGTTTATAAATACGAATTTCTTTACCGTTGTAAGGTGCATGCGCAAAATTGATTTATAAAAGTTATTGGTTGATGGTTTTTCTCCTGCGCATGCGTGAAGTCTGATGAACACTTATGACGAAGACCGGAGCAAACATTACTAGCTCTCGAACGAAATTCCAAGATTCAGGTCATTTCGCCGTGTTTGCTGTAAAGCGTGTACACGTGAATGACAAGCTGTTTTGAGTAGATCAGGTACCTGTTTTAGACACAACATTGATTTAGCTTGACATTGATGTGCACATTGGCACTTTTGAGCATGTTGATACAAGTTTTTACACTCTTAGCACGAGACGGGTTTTCGAAAAATACTGTTATCTGATTCACTCGATTATCGTATGGATATGCATTTCTGCTGACATTTCAACACCACATCACATAGAATTACGATGCAGAATGATAATAAAACACAAAACAACTACTAAATTCCACTTGTTATTTCACAGGAGGTAAAAATGCAAACTGCCTAGATTCTTTGTAAGGGTCGTCAGACATCGGATTGGCCGCCATATTTGAAATGAAAATATCACTAAATAGAGGTCTGCGCATGTATCAACATTTCGACTGTAGAGTTAATAGTATGGCGTATTCAGCACACTCTGTGCATAAAAGACTCTGACTTTATATTTGCTACACAGCTCCCGTTTGTAAATGTTTGTTCTCGATTAACGATAGAAAACTAACTACAAATTAACGTTTAGATTACTTATTGCATACTGTACACACTATTTTATTTACACAATTGTCAAAGTGTAATCCTGGTAGTTCATTGTTCAAGAATTCGAGTGAATTCCCATTCGCCCTCCAATGATTAATGGTCCCCTTTCAGGAGAAAACTGGGAAAAAGACCTCTATCCACTGCGACCAGAATTACATTCATATTCTAACAATACGTCATATGCATGCGCGTCAACCATGAATAGGTGCAAGATGTGGGATTACAAAACTAAAGAATATGACTCCAAATACATTGAATTTGCGAACGAGGCACTTCCGTGTGTTATATACAATATTACGTTCGCCCTTGTATGAGACTACAGGATAAAAACAATATCATCACGGAGCAACCATAGAAAAACTAATTACGCTTACAAAGCTTCCGTTTAGTTATTGTAAGTAATGATCAGCCCAGATCCCTGGAAAGCAATACCAGATGTATAATCATTACGCGTTGTTGTCTCATGAACCAAGAGTAAACAGTCAATGAAACGGTTCGATAGAAATTATTGAGTTATCCCCAGGAATGAAATACTATTTTATTGTCATGTTTTTTCACGCGAGGACTCAGCAAATATGATTTAAAACAAAGAATTTGGCTATAATCCGTGAATGTACTCCCCATGTCGAGTTCAATCCTTGAAATGATTGAAAACGTGAGATTTAGGAGGCAATAAAAGACCTTGCAGGGCGATATCTTATTCGCGGGATATTCCACCTAGAGTATGGCTTGGGATACACATTATTTAATGACTATAGGCTGCCAGGGGGATTGTTTCTTGTTTGTATCCCAGAGGAAATTGCCGCTGGGGTAGTACGACCAACAAAAACTTGACCCAGGAGACAGATTCTTGATAGGTATGTAATGTATACGTTTTCGTCTTGGCATTGAAAAAAGTTGATATATTTGGGCAGTTTCATTCACTCATTGAGCAAATCTAAACATTTGAAGATGGAACAAGAGCTGCTATAATTACATTTGAGATTTTGAATCAAATATGAGGGTTTTCAAAATTACAGATGACCCTATCTTGACAAATTCTAGTGTTAACCAAGTGTGTTTTCAATACCCGGGAAATAAGGATATGTAGTGAACGAAAAGGCTATAGTTGATTCCTTCTACCCGTTTTAAAAACTTTGAATAAGGCCGGGGACAATCGATGGTTGTAATCCCCTTGTTTTAGTAATCAAGGTACCAGAAGTTAGCTACCAGTTACTATACTGACAAACTATTTAGGTTTTAATACATGATTCTATCTCATTTCCAAGATTTAAACATTACCCTTTGCATTTGTTTGACTTCACTTCTTACAAGAGAGCTTTATTTTTGAATCAAATGTGAGGGTTTTCAAAATTACAGTTGACCCTATCTTGACAAATTCTAGTGTTAACCAAGTGTGTTT